GTGACAAATGCAGACCCCCCCGCGAGGAATTTCTATCGACCCATATCGCCTGCAAGGGGACTTATACTCTAACTGAACATCGATAAGAGCACAGGGCTCTAAAACGTAGTGAGCAACCGAGTATAATCATTACAATCAGATACGCAGTCTTCGCTAGGAATAATACTCAGTTGGTAGAATGACCCCGTAGCCGGTCGCAGGCCATGATTCAGTGAAAGATGTGATGATTTAAGTCTTGGTGAATATTTAAGAAGCGTATTCCGCCAATTCCGACACGCAGTGGGATCTCGATGCCCTGCGATTACTATTATATTTTTGTTAGTATTATACTGTTATATAGAAATATACTACTATATTTCTGTATGTGATTTTTCAGCTTACGACGAGTCTGAAGATGTGAAGCATAAAAACACTGGGGGGTACACAGCCCTAAGCAGGGCGAAAAAGCTGTGAACATGTCTATGCGGATCACTCGGTTGCGGAATCTCTGGACGATCATTCGGCTGGCAGCATGCAATAAATTCATGACTGTGGACAAGAAAAGATTTAGGAGACTTCCCATACACGCATCACAGGGGAATCGCGGTTTGAAGTGGGTCAGAGGGTTACTGCATTTTTTGTTCAAGAAAGTACGGAAACCCAAGGGCCCGACACTTTCAGTGATGGCGAAGCAACTGGTAGCGGTTACCCATGGGGTCGCGGCGAGGGGCGGGGGAGGCCCTTTACGCGACACCCAGTCCGGAGTCTCGCGTTCAATTGTGCAGTGCTGTCGCTAGCGTTCATCCTCGCAACAAGTGATTAGATGCCGCTAGGCCTGCTGAATCACTATGAAATCCTAATAATGAGTCATTCAGCACATTGACGAGGAGTATGGAACGCCAGGCGTTTAATGCCGCCCGGGCTAGGAACTTGTAACAGGTCGGCAGGTTGTGAATACAAGTTGAGCTTAAATATTAAATGTTATCGGGCGATGGATCAGTCATCAAAGATACACACTTGTGCTCGAGATCACGTCTCACAGATCATCGGTAGCATGACCGCCGGGGGAGGAGATGTGATAAGAACGTGTGTCCATTGTAATTGCGGAGTTCTTTCCGAAATTATCTCCACTTCAGTGTTTTGATCTCAATTCTGGTGAATTCGGTGAACTTAGCCTATGAGCGGAGCTTAGTATGTACTGAACCATATTCTACAGAGCATAGAGATTGCGAGTACGTGCAGCCTTAGATCTTCACAGCAACAACTGCTGGCTGCGAAAACGCACAGTTGTTTGCTACGAGCGTGTTCGTATTAACATTCGGATGTTCTGCTCTTTACAAAAATTTTGAAGGTAGGCATAATAAACCCAGAAAAAGATTGACTCGAATATGAATAAAAGAGTTACGTTAAATCCAGTACAAAATAATACGAGTTCCCATAAAAAAATCTGAGACTAGAAACACAAAAAGCCTTTAGGAATTTACTAGTATTGATAGAAACAATAAGCGATGTGTGCTCTTATTGAGGGACAAAAGTCAGATCTTAAGACATTGAAACACGCAAGGATTTTTAGTGGGAACGAATCAACGACAGATGGCCACAAGTCTTGACAGAATGCATTTGATAGTGAGTCGCGTGAAGATTGCTACCCACATGTTATGATTACACCATGAATTCCGAAGCTTCGCATAAGGATTAGAACAGTGACCTGCAAACAGGATCCACCTGCCTGTTCAGTGGCGGATCGAGTAAAGATGACAGGTGAAGTTTCCTAGCAATGTTCGATTTCTCAGTATTGTGCCTTTCTAGTCACGTCGACTTCTGAAGGTTCAGATTGAATTTCTGATTGCGAAGAGGAGATTGTGCTCATCAGTCGAGTACGAGGCTGAGGCCCCTGCCGTTTGAAATCCTAAAAGAGGCAAGCATGACGTGGCAAACTTTGCAGTGGTTGCTCAATGGATCCCTCAAATAGGTGCGTGAGTTAGATCGCCTTATGCAATGAACAGATTGATTTGCAGCAGTTGAGGATCTTCTTTTTGCTCACAGAATCTTGAGAAGGCAAACTACAGGATAGTAGCCCCGACTAGTAGGAGCGAATTCCACGAGGGAAAGTTGACCGCCACCCCCAACCCCCACACTCAAGGTCCGTAAGCGTCAATTCGGCCTGAATCACTCAGTCGTCGGGTCGCAAAAACTGGCGCGGTCGTAGGCGTTTTCCTTACGGGCGTCGCATAACCATGGACTTCCCTTTCCAACGCATCCTACCCGCGCGAGAGGTGGTGAGATTCAACGGGCATTGAGTGCAGAGATGCAGTGTGCGTCCCTCAATATAACGTGCTCTCTCGCGGTTATTTGACTTCTGTGACAGACGTCAAAAGAGAGGCAAAACATTAGTTAGCGCGCCCTGTCACCTTTCTTCGTCCAATGCTTTACCCACAGTTCTTCCGTACGAAGGGGTTAAGCGCCATGTAGATGTCGAGTTCGTTTTTCAGAGGATACCGTTTTGTTCTTTTCACTTTCGTAGATCAGTTCGCCAGCCCTTAAGTCTATCAACGCACAAAACGCGAGTGCGACTTAATTAAAGTTCCGGGAGGTGTGCTCTAAATGTATTCCGGGATCTCAGGCAACACATATGGAAGAGTCAGAGAGTGGCCAGGTCTTTCGACTGCGAATCGCAGAAGCGTGCGAAATCTGTGTCCTTGTCTATGTCAAATGAGCTTCCGTGCCGTCCTGCTGGGCTCAGCCAATGGCGGACAGTTTGTCCCGAGTAATAATTACAGACATCGGGCTATATACTCTCGGTGCTGTCAATCGCATCAAGTTAATGTAATCTAGTCTGTGACGGCGAGGTGCGCCATCGCAAACGGGTTGACCTACGGTGGCAGATGTTGATGGTGTGGAATATGAGCGAGTGATCGCCGCAGATTGCAATTATTCTGGATTAAAAACTGGTTAGATTCGAGTGGCCAATATGGGCCGAAGTGGTGAATTTTATACGCTCAAATAGGGGTATCATTCAGATGTACCTAGCGCGACGCGAGATGAAGTGTTGATAAGAATATATGTGGCGGTTGGAGCTACCTCTCCGTTATATATTTGTCTCAATTTTTGTTTCGTGCGCATCATCTGATTAGCTCTATACTTTTACTTCACATGTGTCATCATCAGATCGGTGTGTGGTGAGAGTGGTTGGTTCTGGCAATGGCGTGGTTGGTAACTCCTTCCGCGATATGGAGATATAGGTCTGATTAACCCGGTTGTTATTGTGTGCTTATACATAGACCAGAGAAGAAGTTGCTCATACTCATTTGTAGTCACCGCCTAGCAGATGCCATGTTGAGTGTGTAGCAAAATATAACGACGTGAAAAATAAGTTAAGGTGAATAAAATGCCTGCCACATCTTAAGGCTATGTGATGTGAAAATGGTATGAGTGAGGAACTCAACTACAACCAAATGATTATTAGAAGGAAGGGTGGTGGAAAGCCAGAAAGGTGAGAGTGCCTCTGGGCATTGGCCTTTCTAGCGCTTTGCGATTGAAGTGGGCCCCTGTGTTCGTCGAGGCATCAGGTTAAAAGTTGTGTCTGAGGAGGAATACAGCGGCGGAATAGGGTACTAGGGCGAGGTGGTGTTTTGTGGGTGATGTAAGTCGGAGGTCTCTCGGACACGTGATTCCTATTATAATTTTTGCGAGCCTGAGGGTGCGTCTGAGGAGATGTGAGTTGTAAGGGAATATGAAATTGTCCAGTCAGCAATGGCGACGGAGTTGCCCCTCTCATTTCAAGAACTAGGCTGACAGTGGTGTAGGGTTTGCGGGATGCTGAGAAGCCAAGAGATCGATAGATAAAGCCATCACGAATGGAGGAAATCTGTTAGCATCTGATGTGTTTTGTCGAGAGTGAGTTTGTGTCACAGTCTGTTAGCGAGGTGGAATTCTCCACTTGTCAAAGCGCGCTGCTGGACAATTCATCGGTGATGGTGTGTGGTCTCAAGGCAGATGGCAGATCTCAATGCTATTCTGGATTTACTTTGAGAATGAGTTACAAACACATCCCTGAAGTTTGTTCGCTCCATCAAGCCAAAGTCGTCTTCCTCATAATTTTGGCCCACCCTGTATATTGTATTCTCAATAATTTCTCGTTCGAGCCCATAAAATGCATCAACTCTGTGATGGACTTTTCTTGAACTCTTCGCCAAACAAACACTTCTTCTCTCCGACGAACTCTTCGATTCCTTTACATTGCAAGACGTTCAGGGTCCCCATGAATTTTCGTTAACCCTTATCAAGAAGCTATAGGGAAGCTCAGCATCGCAAACCCTGAACTTAGGGTTGCTAACATGACTCGTAAAATATGTCGAAGATACGTACGAAGAAGCTAGTCAATCCAGATCGCTCAATCCGTCGTTTTATCGTTGAATATGCTATTGAGCCCACTCCGCGATGAATTGTCAGCGCGCGCTTTGACAAGTGGAGAGTTCACACTGCTCGATGTGAGCAAACTGAATGTGAAGCAAAGATGCTAACAGATTTACTACAATTCGTGATGGGCTTCATCTATCGATCTCTTCTTCTGATGGGAAGAATTCTACTGTGCCTGTCTTGAATGAGAGGGGCAATCTCGCCATTGCTGCTGGAAATTCAACTTAATCCATTCAGCGATAGTGCTCGCAAAAATTATAAGATAGGAATCACGTGTCGAAGAGACCTCGGACCTCCGCTACATAAGAAAAAACTGGGTAGTAATAGTCGCCTGTTTCTCAGACTTAACTGATGCCTCAAGCCAACGGGGCCTTTAGAAGGTAGGAAAGGGAATCGAGGAGTGATACCCTTCTGTTTGACAACCTTCCTTCAAAATATTGGTGTAGTTGGGTATTTTCGGAACGACAGGATTTTTATCACTAACTTATTTTTCACCGCAATTTTGTCCACCGTGCATGCACAGTAGCGGTGCAAAGTTTGGAATTTTTCCTGGTCTTTGCGGACAATAAACAACGGGTTTGCTATATCTTCACATAGGGAGGAGGACAAAGCATTCGCCGTTGATTGATGATTGATCGTGAATGTATACAGCTAATCGAGTGCGCCGTGAGTCATCATGTCCACTAGTCCAGCAATAATTCTTCCACTGCACTGCTCGCCGCAGTATCGAAGATCACATTTGAGCGTAATTAATGCCAATGGCCATCATATCACTTTATCCGAGAAAAATTGAATCTGCATCGCTCATTTCCACATCATCAAATCTGCACTAGGTCAACGTTTGCATGCACCTCGACCTCACAGATAGTTACATTACTTGATGCTTGAGCACCGAGAGTTAGCCGATGTCGGTATTATACTCCGGGACAAACTGTAACATTGCTGACCACGGAGGCACGGGAACGCTCTTTGACTAGACAAGACCAGATTCGGAAGTTTGATTCGATGAAAGACTGGCACTCTCTACTCTTCCATTGTGTTGCATAATCCAGGATACATTTAAGAGCAAACTCCGGAATTTATTAGGTGCTATCAGCGTTTTGTGGTGATAGCTTAGCTGCGGAATGATCTGAAAGTGGAAAAGAACAAAAGAGATATCCTTGAAAACGCTGCAATTAAGGCCTTAACCTTCGTAGGATAGAATGTGGTAAGATGGCGAGAAGGGTGCACCGCGTATTTTGCCTTCTTTGACCGTTGTCAAAGAAGGCAAAATACGCGAGAGAGCACGTTATTTGAGGGAGCACACTGATCTCTGCATCAATGCACGTTGATCTCACCACCTCTCGCGGCGGGTAGGATGCGTTGGAAAGGGAGTCCATGGTTGCGGGCCCGTAAGGAAAAGCGCCCTAACCGCGCAGTTTTTGCGACGAAACTGGAGTGATCCAGTTACGTACGGACCATACAATTTCCCTCGTGGAATTCCTCCTACTAGTCGGGCTAATCCCGTAGTTTGCCTTTAAGTTCTGTGAGCAAAAAGAAGATCTCACTGCTGCAAATAATCTGTTCATTGAAGGGCATCTAATCACCACCTATTGAAGGATCCATTGGAGCAAAATCACTGCAAAGTTGCCAACGTCATGCTCTTTTAGATAAAAGGCGGGGCCTCAAGCCTGACTCGACTGATGAGCAAATTCTCTTGCATCAGAAATCATCTGACTTCAGAAATCAACTGACTAAGCACAAACTGGAGAAATCAACTTGGCTAGGAAACTTCACCTTCATCTTTACTGATCCGACACTGAACAGGCAGTGGATCCTGTTGCAGGTACTGTTAAACTTATGCGAAGATTCAGTCATGGTGTATCATAACATGTGTCACAATACTTCACGCGCTCACTTCAAAAATGCATTCTGTCAAACTTGTGGCATCTGCGTTGATTCGCCAAAAAAATCCTTGCCGTTTTCAATGTTTTAGTCTGAATTTTGTACTTCACGAAAAACCTTATTGTTTCCTACAAATCTAGTATTCCCTAAAGGCTTTTTGTGTTTCTAGTCTCAGATTTTTTTATGCGACTCGTATTATTTTGTAGTGATTTAACGTACACTATTTTATGTCATATTCGAGCAATTTTTTCTGGTTTATTATGCCTACCTTCAATTTTGTTGAAGAGCAGAACATCCGGAATGTTAGATAGAACACGCTCGTAGGCAACAACTGGTGCGTTTTCGCAGCAGTTGTTGCTGTGAAATCTAAGGCTGCCGTACTCAGATGCTCTAGCCTGTGAATGGTTCAGTACATACTAGCTCCCGTCCATAGGCTAATCTTCACCGAATTCACCGAATTGAGAATCAAAACACTGAATGGTAATTTCGGAAGAACTCCGCAATTACATTGAACACGTTCTTCAAATCGCGTCCATGCCACCATGATTGTGAACGGATCTCGAGCACAATGTGTATCTTTGATGGACTGATCATGGCCGAAAATTTAATTTTAACTCAATTGTATCAACAACTGCCGACTGTTCAATTTAGACCGGGCGGCATTAACGCTTGCGTTCATTCCTGTCATGTGCTGAAGTGCTCATGTAGATTCTTCTAATTCGAGAGGCCTGAGGCATCATTCAATTGTTCAGAACCCTAGCGAAGCCTGACAATTGAACCGAGAATCGGACTGGGGTCCGTATGGCCTCCCGAGAGAACCCATGGGTAACCGCTCCAGTTCTGCCGCCATCATAAATGTCGGGACCCCTTGGGTTCGACTTCTTGACAAAAATGGCAGTAACCTCTGACCACTTCAAAACCCCGGATTCCCCTGGATTGCGTGTATGGAGAAGCTCCTAAACTTGTTCTTTCCACAGCGTGAGGTTGATGCTGACCGCATGATCGTCCAGAGATTCAGAACCGTGATCATAACTGTTCACTTTTCGCCTGCTTAGCTGTTCCCCCAGTGTTTTTATGCCTTCAATCTTCAGACGTCTCGTAACTGAAAATCAATAACAGAAATAATAGTAGTAGTATTTATAGTAACAGTAATAATACTAACAAAAATATTAATAGTAATGAGGGCAGTCAAATCACATCGTGTAGAATTGCGGAATAGCCTTCTTATATTACCAAACTTAATCATCACATCTTTCACTGAATCATGGCCTGCGACTGCTACGTCGCACTTGTTACCCCTGAGGATTATTCCATAGCGAAGACTGGTACTTTGTATGAAATACCGGGTTGGCTCCTACGTTTAGAGCCTGTGCTCTTAATGTTCATTAGATATAAGTCCCCTTCAGGGCGAATATGGGTCGAAGAAATCCTCGGCAGGGGGGGGTCGCATTTGTCACGGGTGAGCCCCGGCGGATCCTCGTGGGGATCGGTAACATCAGTGACATCATAGTGCAGATAGAAGAGGAAGGTGTGGCGTAGCCAAAAACGAGGATAATAATAATAGGATAGGGTGATAATAAAGGAGGATATGCGAAATAAAATCAATAAATAACAATAAATAAAAAATAAATAAATAAATAAATATTCCTTGCAAGTTCAATCGTCCATTCCTCTTGTTCATGAGAAGGGCATATTTGATAGCAGTACAAAACGAAAGTGCAAGGAGTGGGGCCACATGTGCACGCCTTGCGAAGGCGCCTCCTGTTTTTCTTTTTCTTCCCTCACCCTTAACACCTCGTAGAGAATGACAATGCTGTGATGGAAGCTGTCGCAAAAACGGTAGCAGTCATGGAAAGGCTCTCGGAAGTACTCTCAGTTTATAGGAGTGGCAAAATGTGTTTACTAAAATACAGTTTCTGTCAGCAAGTCATGATCAAATAACACCGTTCAATCGATTCTGCAACTTTGAGTGGAGGTCGGATGTAAGGCCTGCACGAAGACTAAGTCGGACAATGACGACGGCTCCTCTTCTTATTGCTTACGGGGGAGAGTGTATTCTGGACATATTTTTAGAGCTGCCAACGAATCATTTTGCAATGGTTTATAATGAAGCGCCTTTTAAGTGGCCAAAAGTCGTCATCCAAACTTGGGCGCAGATATCTCTTGAGCAAGGAAGTTTGTAAGAAGCTTAACAGGCTACTAGAGACCGCAATAGCTACGCTATTCAAAGCTGCCTTCGTTTTCTAAATTTCTGTAAAATAAAGAAAATATCGCCTTTTAAGAGGGAAAAGCTCGCTTGAGAATTTCGGCATCCTTGACAATGAATCTAGGCAGTTCGAGAGACTCCATCTCTTAAAGTAGAAGACACTTCTTTGCATGATTTTTAGCGGGGGTTTCAGCAAATCTGGCTCAGGACAACCGCGCCACAACTGCCCTTGCCGTTGCTCTCTAAACTTGACTCTCACATGGTTTGGGAGGGGGGTCGTCACAATTTTCACCCTGATGCCCTTCCACAATTCCAGTTTCTGATGCTGTCAGATGAAGAGATACTATGAGTGCCCCCTCCCCCCAACTATATTTTCATTCGATGCTGCTGGGCCTTGCGCCGCCAATGTCGTACCATTTTCCTTCCAATGCTTCTTATCAGCCCCTATTATGTAGCTGTTATCACTTCCTTGCCCCTATATATGCTCCCGTCCCCCTATACCATATCTGCAAAACAACGCCTCAATGCTGCTGGGGCGCGCGCCATACATTTCGTGAGTTTTGCGTTCTTACGCTCATTATCGGATCTTATCAGATGTTATCACCTTCTGTCCCCCGTTAAATATGTTCCCGTCCCACCCCCTTTATCACATCCTGAAATCAACTTCTGATGAGTGCTGATCCGTGCGTTATGAATTTCGTGACACACAGACACAAAGACAGACATAGCGCTTTGTATACATATAGCAGGGATAGTAAGGATTGAAGAAATTAACTTCATCTGAATTCTCCTATCCTCCTTTTCCTTAATGATGAGCACATAGAGGGACTTCATTGTTTGGTCTTCGTCTGAGGGTCACGTGCGAAACGGAGACTACACGACTTATTTGTTCACCACCCCTTCAAATAAATATAAACAAACTCAACGAATAATGTTGAATTTCAATCAAAACATCGTGATCAAGATAATAATAAATAGATTAGTTCGATCCAACTTGTTGATAAACACAACAACTTCATCACATTTCTTGTCCATGTCCATCCACTCCCAATTTGATCTCTCTTTTCAAGGTTCTTCAGTTAATACTGAAAGACAGATAGGCGAGAAAGGTCGTAATGGCGCAGTCGAAATGCCATTTTTGCCCAAATTCCGCTTGTTTGCCAATGGTTCCGCTGTTTTCTTTCGAAAGCGGAAGCTAGTTTTTTGTTTCTTTTTTCAGAAGAACACCGACACTCCAACCAATAACAGCGAAATGACGGAACTCACCGTGAACATGGGCCCAACAAGCTTTATGTGTATTCTTTACGTTGTATTGGGTGTGTTGATACGCGGTTTTTTTATTCAGGCAATTCACGACCATTCTTCAGGATTTGTCTCAACGTTCTGTAATATCCTGAACCTAACTGTGTGGCTAACAAATCGCGAGCTCAGGAGGAAATACGTGTACTTAATTGCGCTCGACGCCGGTGAACTCGTGAACGGTAACATTTCCCTTTGCCCATTATTATTATTATTAAAGGGCGATATTTCACGATCGAGAGGGAAAGTCAAATTAATAAAGAATCTCACTGATTGAAGGACGCGGAGTTCCTAAGTGTGCGAACTGAAGCACAATTTGCACAGGAGGAGTTGACCTCGTTGACCTATCAAGGTTTAATCCCGCTGCGCTGGTCAGTGCACGCCCACCAATCATCTGATCACTCGCCGCATGTCTATGCGTGATGAGTGATTAGATAGGTGAGAGAGCGTAGCGTTGAAGAGGGCACAGCGATGATAGTCGCATCAATGCTCAAATCAACGGGCAAGGAAGTGGTCCCACTTCTCAGGTTCTGGGCCATTTCGCATGGTTTTTCCTTCCTTAGTGTACCACTCACCATCGCTAACTTAATTTGAAATGGGTTGCCTTTCCAGCGTGAATTCGTCCTTTAAGTTGGCAAAATTGAAATACCGCTTCCGTTTGTTTTTTTTTGTTTGTCACCTTATACACAATCTCTTAGCATGGAAGACCATTCATTCGAGAGAGCGATCCAGCGCGCATATGGCGAAATCTTAGGCGCTACTGAGCGGATGTTCTTCGAGCCAAAGCTTTTGCTTGAAGATGGCCGATCAGAAATCATCGTCTGAGCGTATCTATTCAAGCAAGGAAAAACGGCAACGCTTAATCTCTGTTGCACTTTCAGCTATGGTTTCAGCTCTCCCAAGACTGAGGTAAAGGACCTGAGGACGAAGATCGTGGATTTTGACATCTGGCTCTAGATGACGGAAATAAAGAAAGCCAACAATTCGAGAGCTCGACGTACCGCACAAAATTTGCATGAAGATTTGGTTGTATCAACAGCAAATTTCAAAAGTTACGTGCGGCTGTTAAGGTCCTTCAGGATAGAAAAAGAATTTGGCCTACTCTGAGCGACGCGAGCAAGCAGTACTGATTGCCAATACTGGAACTTCGCTACATAAATTCAAGAGGAAAAAGGTCCTTGACTTAGCGTTGACAGCATTTTACAAAGAGATGTTTTCCAATAACAACGCGAGAAGAGGACCGTAGTTGGCGGCTGATGGACAGCTGAGGGTGACTTCGAAGCCAGACATCCACGGAAACAAAGTCTTTTATATGGTGATATAGAATAGCAGCGGTGTACCACGAAATGCTGATCGTGAGTTATGCAGTTACAGCTGAGCTCTGCGTATAACAGCTTCACCACCTCGGCCGAGCTCGCGTCGTCATTGGGTAAATTCGGCCAATGAAAAATTATGGTACGATGATGCAAGACCACATGTCGCGAAAATCTTGCAACAAGAAGTTGCGCTGGGACGCTCTGCCTCTCGCGCCATATAGCCCAGGTGTGGCGCCGTCCGACTAGCACTGATCCAGGATAGCTCAACACTACTCAGCTGCAAACCAATTCGATAACCGCGGCGACGTCGAAATTTGGGTGCCCAACTGCTTCGAGTCGAACCAGAAAGCATTCTACGCGGTAGGCATCCATACCTTTTCGTAACGAAAGGCGATGAGACTGTGACACAGGTGAATGAGGTGGTATAGGTTGACGTGTTTCATTATTGTTTTTATAATGAACATGATTGATGATCGAAAGCGACATTTCAATCTGGCCAACCTAATATTATACAGCATATTTATAGTCAAAATTTAATTCAATTGCTCTCATTTTATTGCTGCCACCAGACGTATTAACTAATTTAGAACGATTGAAACTATTGTTCCCATGCACTGAAAAGGGAATCCCGCGTTTGAACTTTACTAATACAGTGCGACACATGACAATATTTGCCAAACACCTGCATCTTTTCGAAAAAGGTTCTAGAAATGAATTGTGATACAATAAACGCAGCTGTAAATATCCATGCAAGGATTCGAGTTAAGACAGCAACAATTTTTTATTTCCATTATTTTGAAATCCAGATTGGTCCACCGTGAACCGCTGGGACCTTCCTTCCCTGCGTAAACTTTACGTCTTTCGCTGTGATCCCTTCCACCACCACCTCGCGTAGGTGACGTGTATGCTGCAGAAACGTTTCTAATAGCAAAGTTCATCGCCATAATCATAACGCGACGGTAGATTCTCTGCCTCTTATTCCCGTCCTCCCTCCCTCCTTCCACTGCCCTCCAGCTGCCTCTGCAACACCATGTGGAATGACCGGAAGTGTGCTCAGTACATGTTTATACAGCCGCAGGAGTGTTATTCAAATCATTCCATCACAAAACATTGATAGCCCGAGTCCTGCGAGCTACTCAGATTTTTTAGCGGCTTGGTTATTTCGTTGGCCGCCTTATCACTCACTTCATTTTGCGGACGGACATACAGTAGTGGTCAAAACTTGGAAACTTTTTTTATTTTCGATCTAGCGCGGCCGACACATAACAAAATTGTCCCAAATAAGGTATTTCATACAAAATCGAGTTCAAAATACGACGGGAGAATATCTTCCAAAAACCTTTAACCATATTTGAGAAATGAGATTTCTTTTAAGTAATGGCGCATCAAAAGTTTGGAACTTTTTGTTTCCGTTATCATTATAATTCTTACTCCTCAATGTTCGCTTGTTTCTGCTAATTTTATTCAAAACATTGAGCAGTGGGTAATTTTAAAATGAATTCATATACAAAGGAAGCAGTTTTTCCATAGGAAGTCCTTTTTTCAACCCTACAATCCGGAGTACGAATTCGAAACTGTTGCTTAGTAGTTCAGTCTCTACGGAATCAATATTACCAAACGTATCTAGCGTTATTGGAGTCGAGTAAGCAGAAGAAGAATGATCATTCACAAAAAGTATCCTAACAAGAAAATTGGCCCTCCTTAGATACTTCGAAAGGTTGTGGGCGTCCCATGCCCCCGACATTCCCAACCAAGAGACAACTTTTTCTGTTTTTTCCTATTCATATAGAAGTCCAAGCGTACCTCAACATCGGCCGCGACCTGGTGAGTATTACGGGTGATGTCCCAACAAGAAGCCATTGTTGGGCTTTAGCAGCAGGATAGCCCAACTGGCTTCCACACACTAACGGCTAACATAGACCAACGGCTAGAGGTGAAACTTTGTTCTCAGCGACGAATGAGATTTCTATCTTCCTAGAAACAGTGTTGTGATCCCTGTGAAGTGTTTTGTCAAAAGGAAACCTCATTTTGAGTGTAAGATTCCAACAGTCAGAAATAGCGGAAGTATAGTCATGGATAAAGATGCGTCCGGCCATTCGGCGATTCCGCAGTTCTAGATATCCAGCGAAATGTGGGTAGGGCTAAGTACAAGTCTAGTCCGTAGAATACAATGCTTCCCTTCGATAGTCAGAACTAGCCGGAGAAGATGGGTTTTTGTCGCGGACTTGACCCAATGTAGGCCTACCTCCTCACTGCCGCCTTCCCAGAAACGAAAGCTGCTATAGAGCGACCAAGTCAAGATCTGAAGTCTAATTGAACTCTACATTCTGCGAAAGAACTGACATGTTGTTCAACCTAAATTCCAGTAAAGAATCCCACCAAACATGTGATGTAGTTCACAGTATGTAGGCTTCGGCTTAAAAATCCTAAAATTATTTTATAATCAACTCCATGTCAGTAAAAACGACGCCAACATAGGATTTCAAAGCTAGTCATCGATTAACTAATTTATCATGTGGATTTGAGAGCTATTTCGCCGAAATGGCTTTGGAAGTTGGAAGTTTCCAAACTTTTGACGCGCCATTTCTTATAAGAATTCGTATTTTTCAAATGCGATTCTAAATTTTGAAAAATTATGTTGCTAATCGTAATCTACACTTGATTCTGAAGATAATATTTGAATTCGGGGCAATTTCATTGTCTATCGGCCTTGCTTAATCAAAAATAAAAAAGTTTCCAAACTTTCGACCGCTACTGTACATGCATACATACCGACATGCAAACAAGCCGACACATCAAGTTAGCGATTTCTGTCTATCGCGCAATATCATTCTTCCTTCGCATGTTTCTCTGCTGAATTTTTTTACCCAATCAAAATTCCAATTTATTTTTCCTTCAGGCTACTTGGTGTATGACTAAGCAGAACCGTCGTCAGACTTCTGTTAGGGAAATTTCTAGCAAAAAAGACGCAAGTTTGTCGAAGTGTCAGTTCATGCTGGGTTATGGTCATTTTATAGCGAACAATTTCCACAAGGGTCCTGCTGGATATGATAAGGAGCCCTAATTACTATCTAACCGAGATAATCGCCGTATCGTAAGAAAACTAAAAAAGATCAAGCCGGGTACGGAAACCAAAGCTTCTCCAAAAGTTATTGTCTCAATGGACGCAGTTTTTCGTTATTTCCAAAACGCTCATGGTAGTTCATGCTTGGAAAATGAGAAATGTATTTCTGTGAAGAGAAATCATAGAGAAAAATGAGCCATTTTTACCTAGAAAGTTTCGCCAAGTTGAGTGAAGCGGTGACACTCTTTCATTTCTCAATTTTGATGTGTGCCTTTCTTCCTCTCAACGTTCTTCTTTCTCAGATCGGTTTTTACTCTGAAGCGAACAGGTATGGCAAAGAAAAGAATCAAGAGAGTGGTCGAAAATTATCGCAGATAAAAAATTGCCCTCACATCGCTCAACTTAGCGAAACTTTCTGAGAAAAATTGCTCGCTTTTCCCTGATTTCTTTCCACAAAAAAGTGTTTTGCTTAGTTTCCATGTATGGACTATCCTGAGCGTTCTGGAAGTTGCGGTGAAATTGCATAAGCTTTAATTTCCGGATCCGGCTTGAAACTTGTAATATTTTCTCACGATACGGTGCTTATCTCGGTCAGGTATTTATTAGGTCGTGAAGAAAGTTCTTGCGCTTATCGACCTTGATTTTCAAATGCATGTATCTCAGCTCATTCGGAAACCTTTTTGATCGGATTAAAGACTGTTGGAATCCACAAACCCCTGCCAATAACACTTGCCTTGAATCGGCCCGGTCGTGCGGAATACTGGAGCCCTGGAGACGGTGAACGGAGGTCGTTTCCGCATCATGTTGGGTTTTAAAGCATATCTCTTCGGAGAAGCTATTTAGGGAATCGATAAAGTGGCATTTCATAGGCCAAAGGTCTGCCGAAAAAGTAGAAGAAGAAGTCAGCACTAATTCATGGCTCAGCTGGTTCTACTTCTGCAAGGTCGGTTGTGCGATGTGCGTCCGAGCTACCTGTCAGCAACGGGCCTGTTCCTTCATAATGAGGAATATCGAGCATATGTGCGAGAGTTCCAAGAGTAATTTGACACATTATCAATGGTACTTTTCCCACATTGACTGCTCCACCTGGTTCCGAAAAGCTAGACCAGCCGCTGTTCTTATAAAAATCACCTCAACCTTCCTTCAGTGAAGTTTCCTTTTGCAAAGTTTGTAAAGCCTGATCGCGGTCGATCACTTCACCAAAGGTTCGTATTCTGTAGCAAAGAATCCGTTCTTAATCGTGCGTTGTAACTGATTAAAAGTCAGGTCGATTCAATGGCACGAAACCAACTAGAACGCGACGAACTACCCTTCAAAATGGTAGCTGTCGCGGCACGCCCTATTTGGATTTTTTGGACTTTCCAGCTCTCCCCGTACAACAAGAAAACACAATGCAAATGCGAACATTTTAGGAGGAGCCTCTTCAATACATAGTTCTGTGCAAACGCGCTTCAAATGGAACGTTCGGCTAATTGTAGGCGTTGTCCAATCTCCAACCGCCATTCTCATCATCTTTGGGGCTCTCACTATCCTTACGAAAGCTTTTTGAACTGTTGCTTCAGACCATATTTATTGCGAGTCTCAGCCAAGTGCATCTATAATATCTTGACCTGTTTTCGCTCTTTACAGGCTGTTTTGAGCAAGAATGAGGAAATCATGCAAATTAAGGAATAAGGAACCTAGCTAGCCCAGCTGCTAGAAAGAACAAGAAAAGCTCTTCAAAACGACATATAGACGGTGGCAGCTTGAAAATAACGCGTTCAAAAACGAAACAGCAAAAAGCACAAGAACTTTCTTCATGACCTAATTGTGATCAGTGCTCCTTACAGTAAAATATCTTGCGAGGTTCTCAAGAAAATTGTTCGTCAGAAGTGACCCCGACCAAATTCTAGCTGAACTGAGACTCCGACGAATCCTGCGACTATTTTGCTAGAATTAAAACTCTGCTTTTGCCATAACCTAGGTAACCTAAAGGGGTGACTAAATTCAAAATTTGATTAGGTAAAAAAAGTTCAGCGGAGAAACATGTGGTGGAAGCATGATTTTGCGCGATAGGCAGAACGAGTTTCTCAATAAAAAACAAAAAAAGATAAAAAAAACCAAAAAAAGAAAAATGAGGAAATAAAAAATTGCTGCCCTTTTAAATTGGATATTTGTGTTGATATTTATTATATAATTGAGTTCATATGTATCACAATTTCTTCCAAGAAGCTTTATAAAAGCATATACAGATGCAAGTTTCTGGGAAATTTGCAGGCGAAAGTATGATTATGCGTCGCAGTGTTTGGCGCGGAACAACTACCATATATCTGCAGTCCTGCGATAGACCAGTAACACATTTGTGCGTTGTAATGTCTCTAATAATTTGGGTAGTTGTAATGCAGGCCAAATTCCTCTATTATAGTGTAGGTAATATAAGTGCTTAATCTAGGAGGGTGAGGTTTGCGGAGGATATGTATCCTCCCAATGTTACGAAAACTCAATGATTTTCCTATTACTGAAACTTTGACTTTTGCCAGATACTGTAAGGTGAAAAGGTTCATTTTTAAGCCATCAGCTACATTCTCGTCGGATCCGGTCGAGGACTAGCGTTGATTGGTGGCTACTTATCGTCACCTATAACCGTGCGACAATGTTTTTTCGAGGTTATAAATTACTCATAAAGCTTCTTCGCAAACAAAACACGCACAATTAATCAAATATTTACTAGGGCTAGTCATAAGTCATTGCATGTTCACACTGCAATTCAAGTGATAGCATTCTTCGAAGCATATTTTAGAGCAACACCCTCAGCGAGATCCATACATACCTTTGCTACTAATGGTGTCGCGGACGCGATAATCGCTCTGAGGGAAACCTGAGTGCGTCGGGGCCCGTAGGCTAGCTGCCGCCATGACCTCTACATATCTATGATACTTCCTGATCGTGAGCGACGCGCGACGCTGTTCTCGACAGCGCCATTATAAACCCTCCTGGGTACCATGCTGTCATGGGATTCCCCACCATCTTGTCTTTTGCACGGCAATTATGCGGGGCTTGAGCCTGTAAAAAAACTTGGATATTCTTATTGCAGACTCTATCGGGAAGCCAAAATTACATCGACAGTTATCGTCCTATGGGACCGTAGCAGAGACCCGACATAAGTCCTTTACTTTATCTCATTACTTGAAGTGCCGCGATAGCTGGTAAATTGACCCGTGTGCTTTGGTTCACGTTCGTAACTCACGTGCCGTTAAGGGGTGCACCGCTAAGGAGACTCACGCGTTTCTTTTTAGGTTACGTGAGCTCCCATCCCGCGGTCACCGATTCGCAACGAATTCTGTGAAGAAGAAGCGTGAGCCCTAGTCAAAAATATAAGAAGTGTCGCTGAACAAAAACTCACCTAAAAAACGCTAGAAGGGATTTGGATACGTGCCAACGTCGTTTTTCCGTCTACTCCTTCTCCGTCCACTTGCTAGTTAGAGAGTTCGCGTGATTATCTGCGTGATCCTTGCGCGGTTATGTGAAAATATTCCGCGTTTCGAGGGATGGAGCTGCTTTTTGTTTAGTTTTACTTGCTTGAATAGTTTAATTATGATATTTCTCAGTCTGTGTTGGTGCTCATGTCTCTGTTTGCATTGATACATACAGCAGCTTGCTGAAACGAGCCAGCAGTAAACGCCGGTGGAGCAAGCCAGTTCGGACAGTTCGTCTTTCCTCAGAACCTCCTTGTTACGGAGGGGTAAAGGGAGAACCATTCTCAAGAGCTCCGGCAGTCTCCTTGTTCCTTTTTAATTTGCATTCCATAGGGAAAGCTTAACAGATTGGTCGTCGCAGAACTGGGGTACCGGTGCGGAGAAGGAGGTTTAAGTGGGTTAAATAGCATCAAAGGCGTTGCTTCAGGAGGAAACCTATGAGGGGTTACATAAGACGAGAAGCGAGAAGTTAACAACTTCAGAAGGCTGTGAAGCGCTCTAGAAGACATGACATATAGTACACTACAAAATTTGCTAAAGCTAACTGTGGTATAACTGAAATACCTGTCAGTGACCTTTCCTCAGGGTGTTGCTTTCTAAAAGTGGTCTGGCGAGTGGTGTGGGGGCAGCCTGAGGTAGCGAAAAACCACACAGGAGGAACACGTAGGTGAAGGAACGTTTATGCGGCTCTCCTATCGTTCAAGTGTACTTCATATGTTTCTCTTCCCATGTTGTGCGCACCTTTGATTGCGATAAATAATTAAATAAATAATAAAATAAAGAGACTTGCTGGAGGGATTACAGTAAGTTTTAGGTAGAGACGTGAGGTGCATCGAAAGTATGCGTACTTACACGATCCAAACTACATTCGCTTTGTTCAGTGAAAGTGTTTAGGTATAGTTGTGGCTTCTCAATAGCAAATTGCTTCTCGGATATAACTAATTAGTGATAGTTAGTGGTATATGGAGCCAATCGACGTTTCTATACAAGGTTGATACTATCAATGACGTCCGTAGGCAGTCGGATCGTGGTCCGATTAACCTAAGCCCTGCACCGTGTCCGTTGTAGACTACGTCGAAATATTACATTAGGTTGTCTAATAAGTAGTGTCGCTTTTTAATCAAACGAAAACTTTTCTTTCAAATCCTTAAGCATTGAAACTATTTCTAAAACTCCTTTACATCTCCGAAACTTCTTTACATTTCGAAAGAGAATTGTCTGCTCTACAAGATGTTATGTTCTTCCTCCACCCATTTCCAGGGTTTAAATATTAGGTCTGCGAAATGGGAGGTCCAGCCTACGAAAATTGACCAGACCGACAACCAGCTCTAACTTTATTTTCCTGGGAGAAATCAATTAACGATGTACACTCTACTTAGTCATGACCTCTTCTAGACATTCCACTTTCAGGTTGCCAGAAAAGCTTTGCCATGTTTCTTTTCGAATTGGCTCATCGATAAGTCGTAGCAGTTTTCGAATTAAAATTGTTACTCGTAAACGCCATTGTTTCATATCGAGTGGTGCTCCTTTTATGAGCACTTCTTCTGCTACAGGCGTACATTAGTCATGACTTGTTCTTCAAGTTCTACCAGTTTTTCAATGTCACGGATATAAAAAAATTCCAACCTAGATCTCAGGTAATGGTGCTATCCGGAAATGGAACGACGCGATTTGTTGGGAAACCTAGTAGTGCAATGTTCAGAGGAGGTTATGTAAAAGTAGAGGGTACATCATTGATTGATTTTTCCTAAGGGAATAGAAAGCTAGAGATAGTTGTCGGTTTGGTCCAATTCCCCCGGTCCCTGGACCTCCCATTTCGTTTCGCGGCCTAAAATTTGGAAACCCTGGAACAGAGGTGGAAGAAGAACATAACATCTTGTAGAGCAGAAAAATTTTCTCCCGTATGGTATATGACACGATGTAAAAGAATGTCGATTTGGATAAAAGCTGTTCGGTTGAAAAAAAAGCGACACTACTTATGAGACAGCATAATAGAATCCAGAATCGAGACGATGTGAAATGAACGACTAGCCTACGTATTATTAGCATTGGGTCTGACATTGTGATGCGTCCGCAACTGAGTATTTTGAGTTAAGATACATACCAGAAATGGTGAATCAGACGATTTTCCGATCTAGTCAATGCTTCTCTGGAAAATTGAACATTTACAGAAGTACTGGCCTCAGTCTCTCATTCTCGGCACTGAACTGCCGTCATTCGGGATAATCCTGATCGCCTGCGAACGCTTGTGCGCAGTACTTCGCCCTGGTGCTTACAATCGTATTTTCATGGGCCAGTCGAAAGTAACTCTACTCGCTATGGTCCCATCTTCCAGCATAGTATGTTTCAATTCGTTTTCTTCTCATTTTTTTATTGGTGAAGCTTTTTCATTGAAGTCATTTTTCTTGGCATTATCGCATGATTACCACAATGCTGCTTCATTCCAATTTGAAAACGTCCCATACTATCAATCAAACAAATACATCTAACCAGGAAAGGCATAGGCCTCAGGTATATCGACAGAGTTTCAAACGCTGATTACAAAAATAGAAGGAAAACTGCAAAATGAACCAGCCGAAGAAGTTGTGAGGAGTCAAAGTTGTCTAAAGTAAAACGTTACATATGAACCGTGCTGACCTCCGAGCTTTCAGTCGCATGGAATAGTGGGAGTGTTCTCAAAATTTGCACTCCAACAGGAAAGGAACTTATGACCTCACGGGTGGAGAGCGGGGGTACTATCGTTACTCCGCGGCGACATTGAAAGCCTGGAACCTAGCACGGTTCATATGTAACGCTTACTTTAGCGAACTCTGACTGCTCACAACTTCTTTGGCAGGTTCGTTTTGTAGTTTTAGTTTCCATGTTTGTAACTAGCGTTTGAAGCTCTGTCTATATACCTGGGTCTCAGTCCAAAGTACCTTGGGAAGTTGAATGCTTTCCCTGGTAAGTGGTAACAATTTTCTTTGTCTGCGCAGAGTGTAAAGGAGCGCATGACAAGCGCATTGAGTAAGCGGTGATGTTTAGGAGGGTTGAGCGTGCGTTAAGGAATCTTCGACAAGAGTGTTCGTATATGGTCCAGTGAGAACGAGAGTCGTATTTCGGGGTCAGCAGTGATTAGAATAGCAGTATCTGTTAAGTGGATAAGGACCGTGACCCACACCGAATATCGATAAGTGTCGAGTTCACCGCGCATCCCTGAGCGAGTTCAAACCATGCGATACTCTTGAAATTCCATTCCCTTGACAGAAATGTGGGTCTGGGCATGAGAAACATCAACAGATACCGGGAGAGAGGTTTAAAATGAGGGGAAGGAATCCACCACTCATGAAGAAATGCAAATGAGCGTTAACTTCATAGACAGATGAACATTGCTTTTGAGAGTTTACACTGGTGACAAAGCATAGGACTTATAAATTTTCGAAGCTGCTTTCATATTTGTACAAAATTGGTCATAAAAGAACAGTCGTTGAAGGGTGACAGCGCATCAAATGAGAATCTTGAGGTTCTCACCAGGAAATGCCTTGAACTTCCCATGGAACTGTGGAAGGAGCCTAGATGCATCGATAGAGTCTTGAACGCTGATTACAAATATGGACACTAAAACTGCGACGTGGGCTTCCTGAGAAAGTTATGAGAATTCAAAGTTGGCAAAAAAACGCTACTGAGGAGAGCTTACCTGACGGAATTAGGGTCGCCGTGGCTCTGCGCGAAAAACTCGTCTCAATTTGGTAATCAAGGCACCCATTGACCTTTACAGAGCCATGAATCAAGCAAAAAGCAAAGGTGATGCCATCAGGTAAGCTCGCCTCGAACACATTCACGAAAACTTTGAAGGCTGATAACTTCCTTAAGAAGTCCACGAAGCAGCTTTAGTGCCCATGGTTTTAATCAACGTCCGAGACTTTATCAAGGCTCATAGGTCTTCTTTCAAAGTTCCATGGGAAGTTCAAAACATTTCCTGGTCATACAAAATTTCGCGAGCCGTTTTTCGATTGCTGACTAGGAAAAGACGATGGGGGAGTAGCCGTGTGCAATTAGACCTGGACTGATAGGTGTGTTTTTGAACGCTGGTCTCAAATCTGCTTTCCAAATCTGGCAATCGATTCTTTGAACAGAGTTATGAAGCAAAAAGAGCTGCGGCAGTGGTCCGGACTCACGAGCGAGAGATCGCAGGATCGAAGCTCTGACGGGTGATTTGTGTACAAATTCCCTAGGAGTAGGTTCACCTAGAAACAGAAATATCCCACCTATCCGCTGCAAAAATTCCTGTCAGAAGTTTTACGAGTTCCACGTGCAGTCTTTAGTAAGTAGCGTCCAAACTTGTTAGGAGCTCCACGCAAGCTAAATGTGCAGGTAAATATAGGCAAGCGATGATCAAATAACGTAGTTGAAAGTTTCTTCAACTATGTTGGCGTAAGGCAAAAGGGAGGTCTCGTTAGGGAATCGGTCCTGCGACCTCTCGCCGATGAGCCCGTACCACTTTCGCAGCTCTCTCTTGCTTCATAAAAGAAAATCTATTGGCCTATTTAGAAAGCAGATTCGAGATCAGCGTTTAAAAGCACATTCAGAGTTCAAGTGTCATTGTACGGCCACTTCGCCTCATCATCTTTTCCTGGTGAGCGTCAATTCAATTCATTTGGTCCTGGCGGTGGCGATTTCCACCATCAATCTCAGAGGTGTACACCACCGGTGCAACAATATATTTCTACTACAGCCCGTTCCAAGATTGTAAGGTCATCAAATTTTGCTTTCTCGGAACGAACAGATGATTGACAGTTTTTCTGCCTAGTATCATCAATTGATTCCTCAGCATGATTAACCCTGCAGCATGAATATCCCCTGATATCACTCAGTAAAGGAGGAATCACAGATTAATAATTCTTCGATGTCTATCATTAATCTTGGCAATTGTTCTTTTTCTCAGGGTGATCTTATATGATCTCGAGTTGCATAGCTGTGACCAAGGAATTAAATCCACTTTAATAGGCAAACATTTCGGCCTTGTAGCAATCATCAGAGGCTGAAAATTTAACATCTTGGTCACAGCTGTATGAGAATCCGAGATCATATTCTAACACGCCAAGATTCATCAAAAGACGAAAATGGGTGGAATTATATTAGGTTGTCTCATAAATAGTGTCGCTTTTTTTCAACCAAAAAATTTTCGTCCAACTCCCCATGCCTTTGCACCATGTCATGTACCATTCAAAAGAGAATCGTCTGCTCTGCAAGATGTTATGTTCGTCTGCCACCTCTGTTTCGGGGTTTTCAAATTTTAGGTATGTGAAATGGGAAGTTCCGCCGACAAAAATTGACCAAATCGACAACTAGCTCTAACTTTATTTTTCATGCGGAGAAATCAATCAGTGATGTACCCTTACTTACTCATGACCTCTCCTTAACATTCCACCCTTAGGTTGCCAAGAAAGGTTTGCCCTGTTTCTTTTCGAATTGGCCGACCATAAGCTATGACAATTTTTAAATTGAATCTTCCTCTGAAACGCTATTGTCTTATATCAACTGGTGTATCTTTTGTGAGCTCTATTCGCTCATTGTTTTGTTTTAATGTTTGTTCGGAATTAGCTCGAATTGTAGGTGTTTAGGAGTAAGGTGCTTTATCAACGAAAGTGACCGCAATTCCTTGAAAATTATTCCTGAGAAGATGAGAACATCAACCAGGCGTACATTCCCAACATTGTCATGACTTGTTCTTTAAATTCTACTAGTTTATCCATGTCTCGGCCATAAAAAAAATTTCGACCTAAATCTCAGGTAATCGTGCTCGACCGTCGAGTTCTGGTTGAAAACCCTGGTCTGGAAATGGAACGAGCGACTCTTGGGAAACCTGATAGTGTAATGTCTAGAAGAGGTCATGAGTAGGTAGAGGGTACATCATTGATTGTTTTCTCCGCAGGAAAAATAAAGTTAGAGCTAGTTGTCGGTTTGGTCAATTTTTGTCGGCGGGACCTCCCATTTCGCAGTCCTAAATTTTGAAAACCTGGAACAATGGTGGAAGTGGAACATGACATCTTGTAGAGCAGACGATTCTCTTTCGAATGGTGTATGAAATGGTGTAAAGGCATGGGGAGTTAGACGAAAATATTTCAGTTGAAAAAAAAACGACACTACTTATGAGACAACCTAATAGCTATGGAACGGTGGAATAGCCAAAGAATAAGTATAAAAAGGTTAAAAGAAAAAAAATTCCCATGCAAAATTGCTATCCCTGTATTGCAATTCCCATGTCAGAATTGCAATACAGGGATAGCTCATGGTTAAGAATCAACTGGTGACACTAAAAAAACTCCCATTTCGCCTTTTCCTTTCAAATTGTGCCCTGTACCCGCCATTTTTTGCGTTTTGCCGCTAGCATGATTAACATTTGTGTATAGGTGCAAAACAAAACGTGCTTGCTTCCGCAACTCGCTACGTAGGTGTCAATTACTGTATTCAATTTTTTCCAAATACAGTAATTGACACCTACGTAGCGAGTTGCGAGTACCAAGTAGATATACAGGGGAGGCAAAAAAAGACATTTTGCCATGTCGCACTTCTGCCCTTTTTTCTTCGCAGTTATTGCCGTCGTTGACGGAATGTTATTCCCTAAATGTCCCTCTATAAGTAAACGCAGGCCTTCCTTAACTGCCCTCACCGTCTCCAGAATATGACGTCATCTGTAATCGTCGTCAAGCTCAAGGAGGCCTACCGTAACGGCTTCACCCTGAAGCTCTTACATAATTTCCTGAATCGATTCAATGTTGGATAGTTTCCTAGAGACATTGGAACCCACTGTGCGAGCCCCCTCGAAACTCGCTTCTCAGCAAAGGTCGTTATGATACACGATCTTTCAAAGGCCCCATTGAGCTCGACCAGTGGTGCACATGTCTCAGGGGCAAATTTTTCTGATACCGTCCACGTATGTGGCCACTATGAATCTTTTCTTATGGAATGAATGCGCTCTTCAATATAAATTACAACCCTTCGATTTGAATTGACAAAGCGTAATTGAATCTATCTGGATGTGAACACAAAATGTCTTTTTTCATTGCCCCCCCCCCTGTATTCACATGTTTTTAAAACCGCGAAGTATAATGTGTATGTGTAAGGCCATAAACTTTCCCAACGGTTAAGAAAGTTAGATTAAGAAAGTTAGAGTCCTTTCGACATAGACTTAGAAAATAGGAAGCCGTGGCAGTTTTTACAGATTCCCATTTCTTTAGTTTACGATTAGAAAGATTCCATATTTTGTTACAATGTCACTCATGCTTACAAGAATTAATCGATAGTATTTTTCTCATGAAAAACAATTCAGGGCTGGAATAGTTATAACCGTTGAATAGAAAATATCTTTCAGTTTAGAGTGATATATTGACTTTTTTGAATTGATGCATCTGAAAAAGTTATAGCCTTTTAAAGTGTCAAAGCAAGCAATTTTGAAAATGTTTCTTCGTTGCATTTGCAGAAATTCTCAACAGGCCCATTTTCAAAGTACTGTACGTGTCATTTCATTCCAGTAAGATTGTATTAGAGGAAGTCTTCTAGTTCGCAAGGTATATTAAGTTTTTTTCAAGTGATGCATTTGAAGGAAGCTATGGCTCAGAATTTTATTATAACTCCGACTTCTCAAGAAGTCTCCTCGTCAATACTCGTGAACGGTGGCCAAATAATTTTCACCATTCAACATAATTTGGAAGGAATTCGTCAGCAAATAAACAAGACAGCATACAAACACCAAGTTCCGCCATAGGTTGTGTACGGAAAGAATAGTTGTGCCTATCAACCCACTACTTGGAGGAAGGCGTAATTTGTCTTTCATGACATCCCGCTTGACCCTGGTGTTAACTCACATATACAGGTGGGGCCAAAAAATGAAGTCACTTCTCTCCAAATTCAAAACGCAATTAATCTCGAACTGCGAAACCAAATGCATATTGCCCAATTGCATATTAGCTCATTCAAGTCTATTAAAAGTTAATATAACAGCCTACACAGACGACATCAGAAGATTTTCCCACGGAAACATGGTTCACAGTACGAGCTCAACGACGTCGTCGAGGTACCATAGACCATTACGACGTCCCTGGAACGCCGGTCAAAAGCGGTCTTGCACAGTCACAGCTAGGGTCCCTAGAAAGCTATTCACCGCTTTACCGACTGAAGAAACTAGGTTGCAGCTCCAGGCCGAAGCGATTACGTTAAGCCCCGTTAAGCTTGACGGCGACGGCAGATGACGTCATATTCTGAAGACCGTGATGGCATTGAAGTAAGGGCTGCTTCTGCTTATAGGGGGACACCTAAAGAATATTCTGCCGTAAAACATTCATTAGCTGCGGTATACTGTGCGAAGAAAAATTTGATGATGTGCGCCATAGGCAAAGTGACTCTTTGTTTTTGCCCCCCCCCCCCTGTATAAGCACTACTTCTCGCGTTGTCTCATGCACTCTCTGATATCTTTGTAAATCTACACCATCTAATCGAGAAATTTGACTCAGGAGCATGGATCAAATGCTGCAAACATGCGCTCGAGTGTCTGAGTCCATTTAGATGAAAATTGCATGTTTGGCGCCTGCCAAAAGTTTTGTCACCCCCAGTATTCCACGGCAGTTTCTTATTGTCTTCTTATTCTTTATTGGAGATTATTTCAATAGAGATCATGCTATAAGCAGAGATTTTGGGAGTCAGTTGCACGAAAATCATACCGGCATCGGAAAAATTTCATGCGATGAACTGAAGTAATTGTGGGAGGGCTGTTATTGACCGTACCAAAAAGAAATGTGTAGTGGTAGTACGAAGAAATGTTGCCTATTGAAGTTGAGTGTACACGTGGTAGATTATGCATTGTTCATAGAATAACGTAACGAAAATGGCTCAAAACCTGCGAAATAGAAATCTTCCATTCCCTCTAGTTTCCGCCTTACATTAGACAGCCAGTGACAAAGTCGAGCTCAGTTCACGTGTTAATCTGTTCCCTACAGCCGTCAACAAAGCACTTTATGTTCTTTTCACAGGAGAACTAAAAGATACGTCGTTTAGGCTTCTTTGACATTGCGCCGTTGCGCACGCTGCGGAGCAGGGTGAATAACGGTCGAGGATCTCCTCGACCATAGCTCTCTACCATGTGAGAGTAGTGCTGAGAATGAACATCCGTGCGGAGAGCCCAGATGGCACGCCCATGGCGAGTGTGAATGTCCACGTAAGAGATCGTGTCTGACCGGGCAGAGAATCCTCGACGTGCCGCTGAGGAATCCTCAAGCGATATTCACCCTGCTGCGGAGGGTGCGGGTATTGCGAAGAGCGTCATCACGCGCATTGATACGTACTTAGGGTACAGTCGGTAGCTTCCAATCGACAATTTCAATTTCAATACATTGTTTTTTTCTTGATGTTCGAAAAAACGAACGAAAGCAAAACTTCACATAAGCCATCAAAAATGGAAAAGTATTGGGTTGATCCATAATTTCTGGCCGAAGCTCAACACTATGATTTATTAGAGTTTTATCTTTCCTAAAGAATAATCGATCAAAAACATAAGCACCATCATAATCACTGATAAGCACCCCTTTGCTATGGAGCGAATGGGTGCATCCTTCCCAGAATGAATGAAGCTGTGAAATGAAAAATTCAGAGAGGTCGTTTTTGGGGTGGTTGCATTCAGTGACTCTTTTCCCTTCAAGCTGCTGCTTCAGGGAGCTGGGGAAGTGATGGTCCGATGGAGCAATGTTATGGCTATACGAAAGATGTGGTGTCGCGGTCCATCCAGTTTCCTTGGAAACGTGCCGAGTTATCTTGCAATATGATTTCGGGCGATCTTCCGGATAAAGGAGGTTTTGAGACTTTTCCAACCGTCCTTCCACACTGCTGCGGCCAACTTTTTAAGCTAATTCATGGTCGCAATGCTTGTCTGCATAACGTGAAATGGTTCTTAAAACGGGAAACCCAGCAAATCCAACAAAACAGGGGTCACACCCTCTGATGGAACAGCTCTGGTTTTGGTCGATGTGCTGCGTCCAGGCTGCGAGGAAGCCACCGGGCGAGCCCCGTGTTGTTATCGTAAGGGGACTCATGATCAGGGTCAATCCTGCGTCGGTACAAGTACCAACGGGGAGGACTGGTATCCGGTTGAGTTTGTAGGAGGGGGACCGTACCCACTTTAGTCGCTCGAAATTACGGGTGAGATTGAGGTGAAACTAAGATTTCGTGGAGTAGGCTGCTATAAAAAGGATAAAGGATAAAGCATTTGCCGTTGATCAATCCCTTTTTGGGATGCGGCGCGCATTCTACTTCCATTTGTACATTCGCAGTGGCATTTGAATGCGATGTGGCCTATACAATGACTTGCGGGGGCCAGCCGATGTACAAGTCATTTTTTTTATCCTCCCAGACAAGTCTGGTACCAATTAACCGACCCCGGAGGGATGGAAGGCTTGGTTGGCCCGGGCGACTCACTACCCAGGATTTGATCCCGGACGCTCCCGTGGTGAGCGCGCCACTTGTCACTACACCACTTCCGCCCAGGCTGCTATACACCCCTAGAAAAGGAAGTAGTGGGAGTATAGGTAAAAAATGAGTTGAAATAAAAGTAGAAGGAAATTTTCGGAGATATTCACCGTTTCAGAGTGACTATATACCCTATACCCCCCCCCACTCGACGGCATTTTTGGAGGAAAATATGGGCGGGGTTTGGTGAGTTGAGTTGTATCAGAATTAAGTACTATAGAGACGATGATGGTGGCAACGATAGGACCGACCCTGCTCATGACTCATCTGCACTGGTGACCAGCAGTCTATACGGTCGCAGAATGAAACTTCTACAGATGGTCAGGCGTGCTTCCCGGTCATGGTCAGTCCATGCATGCTGTTTCAATCGAAGCTTCATTCGGCTACAATCCATACCATTCAGGTGTCAACTCAAGCTGCGCCCAGATGTTTGCTACAGTTTCCTGCTAATAGCGTCCGGATGCACTCCTAGCGTAGCGCAAGCGCTCCTCGTCGTCGGGGGTCCGTGATAAGGTCGATCTTTGCGGCTCCTATCGCCTTTGCGTATACTATTAAGATAATAGCTCGGTGCCCGATCAGTAGCAAAGACTGGGGCAAACGTAGCGCTGATCCTGCCTACCGCGCTCTTCTTCTGAACATTGTCGCAAGGCAAAATCGTTGGGTTCGGTTGTTTCTCTGTTTTAATTCCTACTTAATTATCCCTTCGCGCTCTTAAGCTTCTGAATCGTCCTGGCTGGAGGTCCTGATGTGTTCTTCAACATATTAACTCATTTCATCGTGAAGCTAATCTGATATGGAGAAAATTGAATTTGAACCAAAATCGGCCAGAACTTATGTGTCAACTCAATAGGTATTGAAATTGAAATCAATCGGAAGCTGTCGACTGTGCGACAAGTACGTATTATGTGCCAGTGTGGTGCTGACGCTGTTCACACTATACGCACCATCCGCGCCATAATTTACACTGTTGTGGACGGACAGCGAGGATGTTGCCGACAGTGTGAAGAGCGCCAACACGTGCACTTGAACGAAGGCCGGCCCTGCAGTCAAATTTCTTCATAAAAGCCTTTGACGAAAATAATGAAGTGCTAGGTGTCCTCCGAACGAGGAGAGTCTACTACCATTCTTGCGCGCGACTGAAACGAATGGAGACGTTGCTCGTTCCAGCTGGAGCATGTAGTAGATGATCAACTGGACGACAGGTGATACAGGAAATAAAGACGCGGTTTTTTTACTTACACGATTAAATATACCACAATGTGGAGTGCTGCGAACACTTTGAGAGGCTATTTTACACAGTACACATGGTAAGATGTTGTTACAATTGCAACACCTCATCCTTCCTGTAACACACGTCAAAGTTGTTTCTTAGCCCTGTCAATACCCACGAGATACGTTGCGGGCATTCCTACACACCTGCAAATCGCCACACTTGGTGGGTTATACTATAACACCGTAAGCTGTGCGCGCACAGCACAGTTTTGCGGCGATATGGGATGGTGCGGGGTAAATTCTCGAATTTGGCCCAATACATTTCGAATATTTGACGGCCAGGTTGAAGTCTATCCGATTGTCCCATGCCTCACCCACCGATGGCCTTTTGGCCTTCCCTCCTGCGTCCATGGCTCCATGGAAGAGCTCACCGGTGGCGCGGACGCTTTCGCCTATCGGTGACGTCATAACGTCGGCAAAGGAGCGAGCAAGGGCCGGCTTTACCACCATTACTTCAACACATCAAGTACTCTGATCACTCTTACTTGGGATGGTAAGAAAGTCCTGAGCCGATTTTTCAAAAGCTCCAGATGTTCCGCTTATTGATTGATACCTAGAATCTGTTACGTGATAGATTATCGCTGTCGATCATACTTCTCCCCAGTAGGTATATATTGCCGGGTTGCCTTCTTTAATTTTAATCATGATGTCGATTCCACAAGAGCACTTTCGAGCGATCATCTTCAATGAATGGCGCTGCGGCACAGGAGCAGTGGAAGCCGTCAACATGATCAGCAGTGCATTGGGAAGGGGCACCACTTGCATCACCAGTGTCAAACTCTGGTTCGCAAGCTTCAGAGGAGGAGACACGGCTTCCGAAGGCAAGTCGAGGTGGGGAAGCCCCCAAACAATGGAAGATTCCACCGTTCTTGGCGCTGTCGAAGAGGATCTGGAGGTTAGCACTCGCAGACTTGTGATAAGACTCTGGTGCACCCATCCCACAGCCCTCCATCCCCTCCACGCCCTCGCCACAGGAAAGTGGTGACTCGATGGATTCCTCATGGCTTGACCGATAGCACGCGGTTCAGGCGGGTACCCATTTGTCAGTTTCTCCCTCTTGGTTGGCACCAGAAGGAGTTTTTGGAAGGCATGATTACGAGAGATGAGAGTTGGGTCCTCTAAGATTCCAATGAGCACAGTGCCGTGTGGTTCCCTTGAGGAGAAAACCCGCCGACACAAGCAAAATCGGACCATCACCTCAAAAACTGTCTTCTTCGCTACCTCTGGGATTCGTGAAGAATGTTGCATTATGAAGTGCTCCCCCAAGGTCATACCGCTACCGGCAGCATTTAAACCAGTCTGCTTCAGAAACTAGCGTAGTGCGTTCAAGAAAAACGACCAAGACGAACTTCTATCCACTTAGTCCACGATGACACCAGGCCCACATGGCTAAAGAGACCCGTCCAAAATTTTAAGAGCTGGTCTGGGACGCAGTTCCCCACCCACCCTATCCCCTAACATTGCCCTCTCTGATTATCACTTATTTCATCCCCTTGAAGGAATCTTGCGCGGAAAAATCATGATTCTATTTCAGCTATAAATCACTGGCTTGGGACTCATTCTCCACGATAATAGTGAGAAGAATTGAAGTATTGCTTTTGTTTTGATTAGAAATTCAAAAACTCGAAAAGGCTGCTACGCGATCGAATTACCCACGGACATCTTTCACGAGTGCTGGCGACGGGGGTGCTCAAACTTGGTTCTTGGAGTGCATTCACTAGAAGCTCTTTCTGGCCTTCTGCTTCGTTGCATTCACATCTTACACTTTACTCCATCCTATTCAATCGATCGATTTGTCTCCACTCTCTCGTGCGCTTTAACCCGATTCTCTCATTGCGTCGCCTGGTACGTAGCCGGCCAAACGCCGTCTTCTTTCCATGCCTCGCCTGGCTCTGCCTCCTAGTCCTTCGATGGTCCATAACGTGTAGTTTTTGTACGTTTGTTTTCGCTTCAGAAACCGAATCTTCATGCGTGAAACTTTGTGTGCTATTTCCAGTAATCATAACTGACATATTCAGGTCAAAAAGCAGAGCAAGAATTTCCGCGCAGATTCCGTCTGAGGCACTCCTAGCCGAAGAAAAATCACAAGGTGAGACTTGTAAAGAGCGGTCAGCGATTCTTTGACTCTCACTCTGCTCAGTCTGGGAGTAGGGTTCGCTGACCTGCCCATTAGGGGATTCTGTAGTGAGTAACAATGGTAGATAATACTGTGAGAAGGTTCTATGTACGCGGAATAAAAAAAAAAAAGCACAAAAAAGTGTCAAAACGGCTCAGGACATTTTTTACCATCCTAATATTTTCGCGAGTTTGATGAGCTAGAAGTAAGTAGGAATTCAACAGCGAAGACCATCAGCTTATTGAAGCTAGTGACAGTGTACTCCTAAGGGTTTTCAATTATCAACCGTAGAAGATATATACGAACTATTTCTAGGCGTCATTGAGGTGAGGCGGGGATTAGATTGTGCCTCTACGTCTAACTAAACAAGCATACTCGGATACAAATTTCCCCCCTATCTGCGTTAGAATGATACCCCGCCGTAGCCATTATGGGCCTGCCGCGGTAGCCGATGATAGTGAACCAGTGGACGCCTACAAATCTTCCGCATAGAAAGGTGGTCTAAATGTATAGGCTAAAATTAATAACGAACGTATTTGGAAAAAAATGAATCGATTCAAAGCGACCCACTAATTTGTTTGCGCGATATCAATAACGACGCAAAGAGACTAGAAGATACCAGCATTAGTGAATTCGGATTCAATCTTGTCACGCTGACGAGCGAAAAAGCTGAGCTTCTTGCTGAATCAGTTCACGAGTGGTTGCGTAACAATGGCTTAGTCCCTGTCGAGCCCCCTGCTGCCTTTACAATGATGCCCACACTGTGGTTCCATAAGAAGAGATTTATGAGTTTATTAACCAAGGCCAGACTCACATCGGTCACCTCAGATTTCCTCCCTTTAAGTTCATCAACAAATTGCATTTCACATTGCCTTCCCTTGAACTTCTGTTCAACACTTTCATATACGATCGAAGTTCCATCTCGGTGGACATTATTCCTCATATTCCCATCCCCAAAAAACCTCCTTTCAGTAGTCCTGCGACGCTAATCGGCGATAGTATCACTTCAATTTTTCGCAGGCTTTTCGAAAGATAGTAAAGCGCAGACTGAGATACTCATTGAACTTCACAACATAATCCCTTCCATGCCAGCATGTTTTAGGCCGGAAAAATCAATAGAAACTGCGCTGCTTTCTTCTCTCAATGACTGGTCGCAGAGCCCTCGACTCTTAGAAAGGAGTTTAATTTAGGAATTTTGATTTTGCAAAGCCTACTCGATAGAGTACACACGGAAAGTAAATTCAAAAGCTGGATCGCTCGGAGATTTACCATTCTTGATAGTTCGATTGGATCGAATCTTCTTTTGTCGGCCGCATTTCAAGTTCGGGTTGGAGCAAGCTTTCGGCCATACATGGGATTCCGTGGCGTCCCCCAGTGGTATGGCGGTTCCTGTGCTCCAATTCTTTCCTTGCACTACCCTGCCAGACCTCCCCAGTGGTGCCAGATAGCAAGTATCCGGTGTTCATGTATGCCGAACGCTTATCAAACTGCTACAACAGTTATTAGGAACGAATTTGATTGACTGATATGCTGCAAGCGGGCCCATTGACCATATTGTCGCTGGGGTCGAGCAATGGGAACTACCTCTCGCCCCGAGAAAAACAAATGTGTTCAGGCATCGGAATAAACAGCACTGTCCATTCTACAAATAAGGATCGGTAGCACAGGCCAGTGAACGAAGATAAAGAGCTCGGGTGGTTTTAGCAACAACTGCTTGTTGATACTCACTACAAGACCTTGTATTCTAGAGCTAACTGAGATTACATCTTTTCAAAGTTTTACAATCAGAAACCCTCGAGGTCCTTCTGAAGGCGTGACAAGCCTATTGTAGCACCAATGTTGAATCTGCTCTTCGGTTTTCTCTCATCAAAGAAAAAAGTACGATTGAACTTTAGAAGTGTACAGAACAATTTCACTCGCAAGCTTGCCTCTTCGATGCTGCCGTGCCGGTTATGAGTCTCTGCTAGTGGTGGCCGGAAAGGCGCCGCCGTTACTTGTCTATATCTCTGTCACACAGAAGACAGGTTAAAGATCGTCGGCATGGCTTCAAAAACTTTTGACAGGAAGCGTTGCGGTTGACGCTGCTGATTTTTCCATTGGAGCAATCGAAACTAGGGGAGCACAATCAAAATCAGGTATCGTAGTAAGAACACAGGTCGGAGAGCTCAATCTTTTGCTATCAGAGTGCTTGGCCTTTCGTTGAACAAAATTTTTTGATGCGGAACACTCTTTGCTGTGTCTCTCGGAAATTTCCGTCGGGTAGACCATAATTTAGTCAATGCAGAGTTTCCTGATTCTGAAGAGGGTACGTTGTGTGCCAGTGACTAGGTTGATGTGTTTAATTTTATTATATATATTTATGAGGCTGCTTTTAATTTTTTCTCTTCCAAAATGTTGCTATGCTCTGCAAATCGGTTGTTGTTGTCGGTATATTTTTTTGTCCTGCTTATCGTATTGTTTCCCACGCAGGTACCCTGTGTCCAATAAATTAAATATAATAAAATAAAGGCTAGACTTCTACATTTTTAAGTAGTTTCAATTCCTGGGGCAAGAATGGTAGCTGAACATACACAATAATTTCGCTCGCGGCACAGCTGATTGAACAAATTGGCATGGTGTCGAATCCCAGTTTTATCCAGGCAGAGTGGCAGCGGCGCTGGCCACTGCTTGCACTTCCTTTGAATCTGCCGCAGCTGCGACGTCATTTTGACGTCACGGGCACGCGCTCACGTCCACATCGCCAGTGAACTTTTCTGTCCCACCTTCGTCCACCAATTGTTCTCCTTCGTCAAACAATTGCCCGTTTTCTCGGTCTCGGACTGCCTCTGCAACAATTTATAAATCTCGTGGTAATCTCCGCCTGTTTCTTTGCATGTCCCAACAATCTTTTTCTTTCTTGCCAACCTCTTCCCACTTTTTACCTGATCTCTAAAGTGTCTCTGAGCCGTTTTATACTTTTGACAGTGAATCCTGGTTTCTCCTCCGCACACCATTAGAAATTCACATCCTTTCCTTCGCCTACTTCTCTCCCGATCCCGACTACTTGAAGCCGAGTCGTGAACTTTCGTGGAGACCCGCACACTGTACACGCTCCGCACACCAACAACACTTGCACTCTCACCCACCTCTATCCACTTTTTTCCCGGTCTCTGGGAGTTCTTGGAACCGACTTATAAATTTTCGTCGCAAACTCAGCCCACTTTGGTCATGCTCCACCCTCCAACAGCAGTTGTCTTCCGTTATCGGACTCTACCCACCCTTTTCCCGGTCTCTTGGATTTCTCTGAACTGATTGTAGGTTTGGGGCAATCTTAACCCACCTTTCTTTTTCGAGACCAGGCTTACAGACGACCGAACAGACACACGGAAAGACTGAGCGCTTTAAAGTAAATGGGATAATAGAGTGGCTTTTTAGAAAATGAGTATTGTACTGCCTTTCTTCGTCTGCTTTGCAACGTAAAGAAATACATAAATGGATATATGCATGGTGTTTCAAGACGTGCGTCGCTTGTTGCAGGTTTCGCTTATTATTGGCGGACTCAGCACTATTGGACCAGCCGGCGACCAGCATGTTGCCACTCAACACTGTGCAATTATTTCTAGTACAGCGGTCTGGTAGGTAGCGATCTGTTGTTTTACATGTAGTTCTTGATTTCATAAGTAGCTTAGCAACGTAGAACGAGTAAATGGCCGCATATTTTTTTTCAAATGCATAGACTTACAATGTACTACATATGTAGTAGATTTAGCTGCTATTACTCGGTCACAGTGTTGACTGGTCTGCACATGTGTTCTTTAATGCTTTTAGAAGCACGGTAGATTACGGTAGCTCGGAATATAGATACCGTTGATCAAAGAATGAATAACAAGTGTATTTTTAGAGTGAGAAAAGCGAGTACAGAGCCACTGAATGGCTTTGTATTCACACATCAACATTACAGAGGTACAGGGAGCGTCGGAAATATTGACCGCTTGCAAAAAGTCTCGCTATTTTGAGAAGAGAAAATGTAACACATCGTGAATTTGATGTCAATGGATGATTATTGAACACGGATTGAGAAAATTACCCATCGCTCAAATGTGAAGGGGTCGGCCCATGCCTGATCATACTAACAAACGGTTGAGGGCAGTACCTGATATGTATCGTCAGTAGTCGCCCTCCGAATAGGCTTTCTTTGGTTGTAAATAAGTCAGACAACCTTCTCTCCCCGGAGCACTCTGATGGAATAGTTGTCAGGCTTCGATACGGCTGGAATAGTTGCTGTTAGTAAGTTACTGGTAATCAGCTTGGGAAAACATAAAAGGTAAACTCGACCCAAAAAACTTAAAAATCTGAGCGGATGCCGGGAATTCACGACCTCTCATGTTTTTGTTATAAGCCATTCAAAGGTTGGTAGAATAGTAGAATACCCTAAAAGATTGGGACAGTGTGAACTTAACTCGCTCGTCAAGTCCGACAAAGGTTTCCCTTTGAATGTGAAAAAATGTACCATTGAGTGCGCCATGCACACGAGTTCCGGGTCGTAATTAAATGTGCACAAGACGTAGGCAGTCAGGTCGTGTAAATTGATTGGTTTTCGGGAGCCCTTCTGCGCCACTTTGAATATCAATTCGAAAGAAATCGACCAATCACTCAATCAGAAAATATGTAGTTCTGCTGAGACACGAGAGAAGGGATGTTGAGCACATAGACCACACAATCGGTCATACAGCGCTTCAAAATGAAGAAAGAAATAGTGGAATCAAGAGTTGTTCAGAGCTCCCAGCTTTCATAGGATGATACAAAAATAAAGTCACTCGCATACTCCCAGAGCACTTATATCCACTGAACTTTACTACAGTTATACCAATCAACCAATAGACTCGAAATTCTTGCGATAGATCCAAAATTCTCAGCTCAAAAAAACTTCAATTGCTTGTGTCGGAGAAGCTGACATCCTTGCTGGTTCCAAAGAATCTCGTTCTACAAAGCCTGTGCTGCATTCGCAGAGCAGGAAGTAGGTACATACTGAAGACAAGGTTTCTATCATTGGCTGGGTGTTGATCATATGATATCTTCATTGCCAAATGGCAGGCACTCAAACGAGACCACCGAACGGTGGTCTCGATCTACAAAGCCTAAGCCTTAACATGCAGGACAACCTAATAGACCCAATGTTCTGTCGCCATGTCTGGAGTCAACTCGTCATGCGCAATGAATTCTGAATAGCCATATGAAACTACACATTCTGCTGCGCGTTATGCACTTGGAATGCTCCTGGTTGCGAACTTCCATGCGGCTGTAAGGTTTTACTCCCATGGTCACATTCAATCTTCGGCTAATTTCCTACGGATTTTCTGCCGTACCGGAGCTCCGCCATCCACAGCGTCCCATGGTAGAAGAAGACCCACCTGTGAACATGTGGCAACCACTCGTGAGCTTCCTTAGTTAGGGTTTGTGAAGCAAGAATTCAATGAAGGTTGACTTCTTTGAGCGCCTTATGTTTTGCCGTCTACTGTAAACCGATTACTGCAGCACAGTGGCCAAATAATCTCCATGAAACTCCGCAGGCAACCATGGAAGACTTCGACTTTACAGCTATACCAAGAAGCTATAGAAACACAAACTATCACATGCGAGTGATATTAGTTTAGGATCTCTCTGTGAATAGAAAAGTCGACTTATAACAAAAAACGGATAAGTAGTGGATTCGCGGTATTCGCGCAACTTTTCGGACTCATGCGAAAGTCGGGCTCAATTAGGGGGTATTATGGCGATTGAAACTGAGTATGGAGACGCGAAGTGGAACGACAGTGGAGAAGAAACTGAAAAAAGCATCGACAAGGCCGTTAACAAAATCCTCTTTCCTGCTTGCAGTGAAGGAGGCTGGACTGGGGAAGAGGCACGTACAAACAAGTTTTCTGGAGATGTCAGTCGTTCTATCGCTTGATACGGCAATCAAAGGAATCCTGCGCGGAAAAATCATGATCCTATCTCTCCCATCAAACATTGACTTGAGTCTCATAGGTCACGATGAGGGAGAAAAGAACGAGAAATAAGTGTTTGTTTTGTAGAAAAATCTAAAAAACCGAAACACCTATTAGTCGTTCGAATTCCCGCCAAGCTGACGTCACGAGCGTTAGCGACGGGTACCTCGTTTCCTGGAGTGTCGTCACCGAGGTGTTCCGGCGCCTTTTGGCGCGAGCGTCAGGCTCCCTAGCGGTAAACGAATGTGATTTTCATATTCCACGGGTCGAATTACCCCTGAAGGCAAGTTTCTAGGCAAATCTACAATCGAAGACAAATTTCGATAGAAACCCGGCTGAGTTCTCGAGTAGTGAGGCAGCAGAGGGTAAATAATGCCAAGGAATCTCTCGTAGAAAATTCTCGCATTCTTTCTGACATCAATATGCCAGTTGTGATCAATGGAACAAATCACACAAAGTTTCATCCATGAAGATTCGATCTTCGAAGAGAAACGAACGCACAATAACTACACTCTATGGACCATCGAAGAAATTCGGGGCCGAGCCAGGCGAGGCATGGAAGGAAGACGGCCATTGGTTGACTAGAAACAGGCGACTCAATAAAAAAAAATCGGGTTGAAATGCACGATTTCAAAATCACGCGCAATTGTGCTTTGGGACGAAATTGCACTCGCGGCACTTTACACGTCGTATACTGAATTCGTCCTACAACGCGTCGCCTTACACATAACCGCCTCCCCACGTACATTGTTCCATGAGTTATGTTGTTCCGCCCGATGGTCCTTCGATGGTCCATGGAACCTGATTTTGGTAAGTTCATTTCTCTTCGGAAACTAAATGTTCGTGCGCCTAACTTCGTATGTTGGCTCCAAAGACCACAAATGACACATACATGTTGGGAATCGGAGCAAGAAATTTCCGCGCAAGATTCCTTCAACCTAGCTGATTTTCCACGTTATGCCAGCCACGCACCACTTCCGGAGCTGGGCGGTCGGAGCGCCGGCGAAAGCGCTTAATACGTGCCCTGGTGCATTATTACGGCGCCATTTGGGATTCTGAGCATGGTAACGTCTCTGTGGTTGCGTAGCCATCGACAAAAGGGATTGTTTTGCTCCACTAAGCCTGACTCGTGCCTTCATGGGACTAGTATTCCAATTCTGGCATCGCAACAGGTACTACTGAGCTGCCCCTCATGTGTGCGGCCCAGTATTCAAGAACGTCATGCAGATAGGGCTTGAAATGGGAGATGACTAGACCGGCGAGGAACAAGGGCAACTTTTTATTCATATATTTCCGCATACCATATGATTCTGGATTTTGCCGCAACCTACACGTTTTATTTCGCATTTTGAGTTGCAATTCAGCTAATCATAAGAATCGTTGTACACCATGACAAAATTGGGCTTTTTGTAAACAAACGTCTAATAGTATAATCCTGCAGATTTTCTTCGACGCTTTTTCCTACCCGGTTAGTGTCTTTAGGAATGACGGTTAAACTCTAGCAATGGACTTTTTCTCTGCCTCTAATTTTCTTTTTGAGGTACTCGACTTTTCACTTTGTGTTCATTGTACTTGCGTATGTGGTGTCTTTCATATCACTATTCATCGTGTGGAGAATATCAAAGGTACGATTTTATTGCGAGTTACCTGTATTGAATCTCAATAAGAAAAACTATGTGCGTATCATATTACTGGATATAATGGCGTGCCTATGGGTGTGTGCGTCTGCGAGTTTGTGTGTTTGGTCAAGAATTCTTAACGCAAGTCGCAGCAACAATTGCGCGTTGATTTTTACACAGGGTGGCCACAAGTTGCAGTAACAAGATCAAGTGGTCATCGAATCTGTACGACTAAAATGTCAGTTGTGACATGCTGATAGACGGCCCCGAGTGCGTTCCAGGCATTATGGAATGATTTCTCGAATGCATCACCTCCATGACGGCAACAGCAGGTGCGCCTTCACCACTCTTCGTGCAGCGTAAACTATAATAGCAGAGATGTGTTGGAAACTCTAGCTTTCCAAACGCAATCATCTAGCCGCCCAGATGGCGGGATGGCAAATTTCGTCGTGGGCCAAAGTCTACAGTAATGTTCAGTGATTATGTAATTCCTTCCCTTGGCTAAGAGAACTGTTGGCTAGAGAACAAAGAGTTTGAGATAATCCTCACTCTTCTCTGACCCTCTTCTTCTCCCTAGCGTTAGTCCCGTGCAGTCACAGGGTCCGCTGCCTCATTCTTCTCTGCTATTCTTTGTGAAACGGAAGTCGAAGGTGTCGTGATTTTTGGTATGATCATCGCCAATACCTTCACTCTTTCCGGATACCATGATGTCCGGGATGTGGAGATTTGGCTTATCTGAAATGCAGTCTTTGTCGCTCTATTTATTGATGACTAACTCGTCTGTGAACACTTCCTCATCGGTGGAAAAGGTCGGCAATACTGAACTGAGAGAACGCCTCCGTCCAGCTCTATTTTCTTTTCAGTTTCCCCATTGGAAAGCTGATTGCCGCGCCTACGTGCCTCCGCCATTTGATGTCTTCAGGAAATTAAAAGAAACATGATCGCTAACACGGGAGTTGAGCAACGGCTTGATTGTGCTAGAGTCCATCGCTGCTTCGTGTACACTTTCTCAATGTCGTTCGTGGTAACAACAGAAGGTTCTCTTCCACGTTTTCATTCGTTCAGGCTACCGGGAGATCCTAATCGCTTCGCAGCGTAACACCTGCAGACACCGACTGAGTGGAAAATTAAAGAACGCAGAAGCTACACTCAAACTCCATCCGTTTGATTTACGAATTGCATGCCGTCCACATTTGTTAGCATAACTTGTGGAAACTCTGTATAATTTGTAGGGGTTGGACGGGAACAGATGGTGTGTAATAAAACGTGATGGCGGTTGATAAAGTTGATAGGGAGGGTTAGGAACAAGTGTCGCCATTTTCGTTTTGCCGTGCATATTGACAGTAGAGCCTTCATTCTTACAGGTGTTATATGGGGTGGGATGGAGACACAGATATCGGGTGATAGAAAATGATAACGATTGGATATAACTGACAAGGTAATCGAAAGCAAGTGTCAGCAATTTTGTTTTGTGGTTGTCAGTAAAGCGTTCGTTATGTGAAATGTCGGTAGGGACAGGGGCGTAAATGGTAGGTAATGAAGAATGGAACCAACTGATATAGGCTGACAATGCGTGTTGGAACAAAAATTCCTAACTCTGTCAATGTCGTACGCATTAGCATTACACCTTTCTTACAAATTTTATGTGTGTTTGACGGGAACATGTTTGGTGGAGGACAGAAAGTGATGGCTGTTGACAATAACTGGTAAGGGACGTCAGAACGCAAGGGGCATGGAATGCAGTGCGCGCGGACCAGCAGCGATATGGTGTTACATAATTCTAAGTTACGATGTAGACGGACGGGAACATGTTTGACAGGTGAAAAAAGAGAAAATGGCTGATGAAAGCGATTAGCTCGAGAATGGAGAAATCACCCAAGCTGTTATCTCGCGATTGTTACAGCATTCCATTTCATTTGCCAACGCCAGCATTGACACCCATGCGACCGTCAATTGCCCGTACCTCGAGACGGTCGGTGTTTGTGGAAATACTGTGAGCACCAGTGTTTCTATTGCAAGTATAGGCATAAGAACTTACTAGGTTGGAAAGAAAGTCCTGCAACACTTTTTCAAATTTTTGATTTTGATTTTATCCTTTTTGTTCACAACTCCTAACCGGTCTTATGTCTACCATTAGTGCCCACCACTGGCCTACAGCTCAGAAAATTTCGTGATGATCCATTGCGAAAACCCAGCAGAGGTCGAGAAAGGAGGCCACCTCACTTTCGAGTTGGAGTTGGTCGTCTAATTATTTCGTGAACACGATGACGATTCAAGGTCTAGGATGGTGGCAGTCATTTACAGCTCGACCAGGGAAACACGCCAAGAGAAATAAAAGATCTTGCCGCAGCTCCAGAATTTCCTATCCTGGCGCATTTCGGATCATAGTGATTCGCAATGACACGAAAAATAGATCTTGTCGCGTTGGAAGGGCTCTTGATGCGCTGCCTCGGCCAACTTCTGGAGTTTCGCAGCCTAGACCTTTACCTACACGATGATGCCTACAGCAAAGAACTTGTAGTTGAGCTTCGGTGAGAGCCCTTCCTGCAATGGAGTGCGCGGGAGGCTGCTGTCTTCTTATGAAAATATCGAAAGATCGAAAGGGCTGGTAAAGGTGAAACACGCTGTAGCGGTGAACGACATGCCTATTGAAGTGAATGCAGATATATTATTGCGGCATATATATAGAAATGGATGAGTGGGCAGGTACGTACTACTCCCAAATTAGAGGGCTTCAGCGTCTTGCACCAGTTCTCGCTATTTGCTTTATGGGTAAAATAGAGGAGCCGGTGTTGGAACGCTTACCTTCAATGTATTGTAGATATATTGATGACTGCTTCATAACAACATCAACACAATCCAAAATGGATGAGTGTTTCCGCTTGATGAATGAGCAGTCACAATATATCAAACCACGCGAAACGCCTAAAGTGGGTTGGCTGTCCTATTTGAACACGCAGGTCAACGTATGCAGTGGCAGCGCACATGTAAAGTGGTACCGTAGAAGCAGCTGAAGAATATCTTGATTCACGCGACATCGGCGCATCCTACTGCCGTCAAACTGCTGTTGATAACAATATGTTCAAAACGGCAACACGAATGTGCACTGGTAATGTCGAGCGAGCAGAATCACGACAGCTTGCTGCGAGAATAGCTGTTGCAAATGGCTATACGGCACCACATCCTAGAGCGGCAGCACGATAGCCCGCAAAAGGTAACACGACGAAGTAAACTGCCCCTGTGTATCCCTTTCATATCGGATAAAGTTAGCACTGTCATCCATCGGTGCATAATAAGAGCCCAATTGCAGGAAGATGTCCAGTTGGTGAATCCAACGGAAACATCAAACGGCCATTGGTTCGAAACAGACTTTATGACAAGCAGTGCATAACCGAAAATTGCGTTATCTGTCCGCATGGAAAACTTGGAAATTGTGCTCATCTTGGAGCAATATATGAGATTCAACATCAGGCATGTAGCGCTACGTACATAGGGGAAACAGGAAGGGTTTTTAGCAATTTGTAACAAGAAACATCTTGCTAATTTGAGACGCGGTACTGTGACAACACCTTTGGGAAGACATAAGATTGAGGAGCATAATGGGAATGAATTTAAAATAAGGTGAACGCTGCTGGCTAAGAGATGGAAATTTCCGCGCGGAAGGCATTAGAAGCATTCTGGATATTCACTAGAAATTCAAGAATAAACAGCCGCGATGAGTGTCCTTCAATAACAAATGATCTACTGCCGTTCATTCCGCACTGCGAGCTGTAGAATGACAGAACGTTACGTGCGTCTCCCGACTATTTTTGATATAAGGAGACAGTATGGTATTATTCAATTCTGACTGATCAGGCTCTGTGTGGCAGCGAATTGTTCCTCTTGAAGGGTGGAACCGACGGTGAGTTTATTTCTTGCGCTGTCCTGATCTTCTCAAGGGGTTTCTGGCACGATATCGAAACCGCTAGAGTTGATGAGGCGCTTGGTGGTGTAGAGCGTAAGTCTAAGGCTTGAAACACGTTCAGGCCTCTGAAGACGACGATTCAGTCGAAACGTTAGGCCGTTAATAAAGGTTCCACCGAACAACCTCGTAAGGCACAAGGAAATTTTTAAAATTGCAGATAGTGTTGGTCTTTGACACGAATCCACGGTTATGGAGACATTTGTACTAGACAGTGACTCGGAGTATGACTTTATTAGTGGTCGAGGTTTTTTGAATTTTCTTGGATAACCACTGACTGCAGCACTTATATCCACCTCGTGGATTAAAGCCTCTACAATGCTCTACTATTTGTTAGTCATCAATGCTACCTATGAATTGCTCAGAAAAAAGAAAATTTAGAAAGAGTGTTGCAGAGCTTTCTTGCCAACCTAATACTTTATAGCAATCATTCGGAATAGGTTGGTTGTTTATGAAGATTTGATGAGTTTGGAACATGGACACCTCATTGAATTTCAGTGACTTGATGGATGACATTATTTACAACTAAGCCCTGACTATAATCAACCCAAGTATTCGCCCTAACTATCCAAAGCTCATAGGACCGCCAGACTGTGTTTAGTTTTTGAGAAACTACGGATGTTCATGATTACTGGCGGCTACAGGAAATGACTGCTTTATTACCAGTTTTCGTCAACACGTTGACGACAATGCGAGTTTTGGCTTTTTTGGCCACGTGGGACCGGGCGATTTTGCGGGCGCAGCCGCCTCAGGTGGTTCAAACAGACTTTGAGTGATAAATACATAAATAATGAACAATACAAAACCAGATCAGTAAATTGTAACGAACACAACCTACTAAGGGGTACAGGGGGGGGGGTGAAATTTCGATAGAAAGACATGAAATAACAACGAAAAAGCGAAATTAGTGAGAACTAGCTGCCATGGACCTCAAAAGCAATTTTATTTTGATTATTTCAATCAAAACACACATTTTGCTATCAATAAGGTTCCGTATCTACTTCTACTACTATTTAAATCTTCACATTCATAAAAAGAAAAAGTAAACGAAAAATTTATTGAAGTGAAGATTCCGTATGGTTCAGAAATCCTCTAGGCCACTATGTTTGTAGTTGCGTCATAATCTCTTCCATGGAATAAATACAAGAAACTTCTAAAAGAATCGGGCGTGCGCGGAAAGAATGAGTGTAATGGGTGCGGGGGATATAGTATATCTCGCACCCGTTACACTCATTCTTTCCGCGCACGCCCGATTTTTTAAAGTCCGACACGGTCTGCAATGCGCGGGACATATATGCCCGCTTTGTCGATTAACACATTGACAACAACGCGGGGCATATATACAGGGTGGCTACTAAATATTGGCGCATGGTTTATTGATCATATTTCAGAAAAGACAAGCCCTCATATCTTCAGAAGTTTATTTTCATATACAATAAAACATGGAAATTCATTACCAAAGGAAGTGCTCGGATGGCCTCCTTTGGTAGCGATACAGGCTTGATGTCTCTTTTCAAATGACATCACCGTGGGCCGCAAGTAGCCGACGTCGGCGTGATATGATTAGATCTTCAGACCAGAAGTGGCGCACAATTCGAAAAACGACAAGCAGTTGTAGGATCAGGCCGGCAGACATTCTGCTCGACCTTGTATACACACAAGGAACTGTTTTTCAACTTTGTCATGGTTGTTGGGAATTACTTCCGAAACCATGACACCGCTTGTCTTTGTGGATGAATACATCAAATCCAGCGCCCAGATCCACCCGGAAACAATTTTTCACGTAATGCCCTTTTCCAATGACCTCTTTTTACCTTCAGCGAACGTCATTGCATTCTTCAGCAAGACAGGGCGCTTCCACATGCCGCAAAATCAATGTTGGAGAGCTGTGACCGTCATTTCTCAAGTTACCGGGCAGAAAATGCTTGGCCATCTAAGTCGCCCGATTTGAACCAACTGATTTGGCGGTGTGGGGTTTCTTGAAGCAGAAGATGCCTTCTGAGCAACGTCGAAGTTTGTACTCCCTGAAGGCTTCCTTGGAGGAGGCGTGGAAGGAGCTTGACGTCAGCTACTTGCGGCCTACAGTGATGTCAGTCGAAAAGAGACTTCAAGCTTGTATCGCTACCAGAGGAGGCCTTCTCTTCTTCTTTTCTTCTCGAGCGCTTTCTGCAAAGTACTGCCATGTTATAAGGTATATAAAGATAAACCTCTGAAAGTGGAAAAACTTCTCGTTTTAAAAATATGGTCAACAATCCATGCACCAATATTTAGTAGCCACCCTGTATATCCCGCGCATTGCAGGTCCGACACGGCCTGGAATGCGCGGGATATATATGCCCCGCGTTGTCGTCAATGTGCTAATAATCATTGAGATCCATTGAAAGCAGCACGCTGTTTCATATAAGAGCCCGGCTGTGCTTGGATTCAGTTAAGCTTACTTTGACAAGCGCGCGGTAGCAAGCGGAACCAAACTGGTATTGAAAAACGAAGACGATTGAGAAAAAATGCAAAAATCGTAAATTGCAAATGGTATTGGACGGAGGCCTAATCTTTATTGATTGCTCCGTGCCTTGAAATCCATTCAGGGTTGGTTTCAACATATCATGCCCTCGTTTCAGAAGTACTCACGAGGAAAATTCGGTGGTGATAACCGACTTGGTGTAATGTTGATTATTACTGGATCATCGATTATTCTCGTTGGATCCGAATCTATAGTGATGATTTTCATAAGGTGGAACGTCATGTCATTCAGTGATACTACAGTCGCGATCACATATGCAATGCCTGGGTGAGTGAGCGAATATGTTGGCTCGAAATCACGTACTTCTAATCGCGAGACACGCCACGTAAGGGATTTCAGGTTTCTCTCGATTTTCAACACAATAATCAATTTGATATTTCGTTCTGATTTCCGCAGACAGTTTTTTGTTCTCGCTGGAGTGAGGTGTGTTTGATCCTAGTTTCAGGGTAGAAGTTTAAAAAATGCTCGGTGAGCGGCATTAGAATTAATGCTTCGTCAAGATTCACACCCACACATTGCATTCACCTCTTTAGTTCATCACCATGCATATGTATTGGGTTGTCGGGAAAGTCCTTGCGCATTTTCTTGTTCATCTTGCGAAATCATTCGAGACTGTTCTGAAACGTTCCCTGTTGAACGCTTGTGATGCTGACCAATGCTCTCTCAACGGAATTTCTGTCGTAGCATTTCGCAGCGTTTGAAACTTGAGAATCGCCTTTCACTGAAGGCACGGTAGCGGTCAAAAGTTTTGAAACTTTCTTATTTTTGATCTAGCGCGGCCGACTCCTAACTAAATTGCCTCAAATTTAGATTCTACACACAAAATCAAGTCCAGAATACGATGTGGAGAATACTTTTCAAAAATCTATAACCATTCTCAAGAAATAAGATTTTTATCAAGAAATGGCGCGTCAAAAGTTTGGAAACCTTTTGTTTCCCTCATCATTATGACTCCTACCCTCCAATGTTCATTTGTTTTTATTAATTTTAGTTCAAACGATGAGTAATGTAAAATTTCAAAATGATCTATATGCAAAGGAAGCAGTTTTTCCATGAGTGATCCTTTCTAAACCCTGCAATCCGGAATATAAAAAAGAAATTGTTTCTTAGTAGTTCGGTCTTTACGAAAGCAAAATTATCGAATGTTTCTAGCACTTTTGGAGCCGAGAAAGCGTAAGACGAATATCATTCACAAAGAAGCATTCTCACAAGAAAATTCGCCCTCCTCAAATACCTCGACGGGTGGATGGCACGCCCCGTACCTTCGATATGCCCAACTAAGAGACGATTTTTTCTGGTTTGAACCTCATCGCTTGAAAGTGCAAGCACACCCCAACAGTGGCCACGACCTGGAGAGTATCACGGATGATATCCCAACAAAAGCCATTGTTGGGCTTCAATAGCAGGATGGCCTAACTGGCTTCCGCACACTTCCGCACACGTGAATATAGACCTAAGGCGAGAGGTAAAACTTTGTCCTCAGCGACGGGCAGGATTTCTATCTTCCTGAAAATGATGTTGCAGACCCTGTGAAGTGTTCCGTCAAATGAAAACCTCATTTAGAGTATAAGATCTCAACATTCAGAAATACTGGAAGTACTGCCATGGATGGAGATGTGTCCAACCATCCGGCAATTTCCTAGTTCTATGTATCCAGCAAAATGTGGGTTGTGCTAAGTACAAGAAGAGTCTATAGAATACAATGCTTCTCTTCGGTAGTCAGAACTGGTGGAAGATATGGGTTTTCTATCGTAGAAATAACCCAATGCAAGCCTACGTCCTCACTGGCCTTCCTAAACCCAGAAAAAGAAGCTGTTATGAAGCGACCAAGTCGAGATCTGAAGTCCAATATTGAGTTCTTACATCCTACAGAAAAACTAGCATGTCTCTCAACCGACGTTGCAGTTAGGAATCCCTCAAAACAATGCGATTTTGTTCACAGTGTGCGGGGTTCGACTTTAAAGTCTTAAAACTATTTTATAGTTAACTCCTTGTCAATAAAAACAACGCTGACATAGAAATTCACAGCTACTCATGGAATAGCTAATTTATCATGTAAATTCGAGAGCTATTTTGCCGAGTTCGGTGTGGAATTGAAAAGTTTCCAAACTTTTGACGCGCCATTTCTTATTAAAATTTGTATTTTTCAAAAGGGAACCTCGTTTACAAAAAGATATGGTGCTTTTCGTAATCTACACTTGATTCTGTATATTATTTGTGAATTTGGGACAATTTCATTGTCTATTGGCTACACTAGACCCAAAATAAAAAAGTTTTCAAGCTTTTGACCGCTGCTGTATGTTCGACTGCTCCTGCCTTTATAAGCCCACAAAGTGCGCCGATTGAAGCGCTGCAGTAGAAGGCCTACGTGTTGTGATAGACCTTCGGACTATCTTTCAAACACGCTAATTATTCGCTTGCCGAAGTCAAGGTACTTGAGAAAAAACTTCAAATCTGGTCGGGCTGCCACCCTCAGTAAGTCGATTGGAGGGAGCCTTTGGTGCAACACACGATGACAAGTGGAGCTTTCTCAGGGCTATCGGAGCACAATGGCCGCTCCTCCACCACCTCGAGAAGAAGTGAAATTATGGCGGAAGGACATTTCGCGATCTGACACACAGGCTAATAAGACGACAAAGTTTGCATGGACATTCCGATTTGCCGCCTGTCTCTCGCTTGATCCGCCAACTTTGTTGGTGGTAACAGAAAGTGGGATCCTCGCATACCGCGCGCGAAAACATGACTGGCACGGATGTGTAAGACAAAGGATTGCTACGTCAATCCGATGATTGCCACTTGAGAGGCAACTTCGAAAGCTCATGGGGCTGCAAATGTTTCGCTCACGGAGAGCTGCTGCCACGAATTCCACTGCTATTGTCAAACAATAATGTCGGCAAGTGTATCGGTTTAACGACATGATGTCCGGAAAATCTGGAAACTTTGCTTAATTTCAGCAACGCTCGCCCACGAATTACGAAGGAGGTTCAGGAAGTCTCCAAGCTCGTTGTAGTATAATCCCACCCGCCCAGGGTGTTTAGCAAACATGGCAGAGACAGACCGCCATACGCCTCTTTTGCACTCGAAAGACTGTAACAGAGGCAATGCGATGAAGCGGACCTACTCGGAGTCAACCTCTTCGAGATTTTTACCCAAAGACTCGGGATTTCTGAACGGCCGGCAACCTGAAGTTGCCTTCTGAAGAGTAATGTTTGGCCGATGATGGCGGAGTACGTATCCAACAACTGTTGGCTGTACTAAAGAAAAAAGAAAGCCAAAGGGGGCATGTTAGAGGACACCCAATTACCCGACCTTTTAATCGGTCATCTGTAGTAATGACATCTGTAGTAATGATCTGTAGTAATTAAGTGTCCCTGAAATAAATAAGCTTATGGTTAGTTGTTCCTTGCTGCTGCATCATCACCTGTGTGAAGCAACATTTTTACAGAGAACCTAACAAATCTTTCCGTAGAATTCAAGAGAAAAATCTAATGCTCAGCGAATGAACCATCCGTTGGGCCATTTTCAGCGATCGGCGTAAACATATTTATGATCAGCGCGCGAAGTGTTGCATTACGATGTTTTCGGATGGGACCGAAATTGTAGAGTGTGAAATTGGATAATTTTCTATCGATCGTTCCTCACCCCTCCCCTTTTCCCTCCTCATGTGCTATTAGATCGTGGGACGTGCATGTGGTAAAAACAGCATCCTCTTTATATATAGAGAAAAAGTCGTCTGAGTTTAAATTTTTTTTCGAACGTGAGAGCCTTGGGCTCTAGCCTCCCATTATAAAAACGGACTTCTTTCTTGAAACTGTGGGTCGCAGATTGTGAAGATGAAAGGTCAACGTATAAAAGAAATACTGGAACAATCCAATGCGTATTCTGTGAAACTACCAACGAATCTCAAAATAGTGCAGGAAAAAGACAAGTTTTTGGATTAGCGGATACGGTTGTCCACGAAAATCTCAAAAGCAGGTGGAACGGTGTATTGAAGGCCTACTCCAAAGTGGGATCAAGGTGCAGTAACGAGCAATGCCGACCGTTCGTTGTGTCAGTTGCGAAATTTGTCACGACCTATTGATGGCCAAGGTTGGGATTAAGCGGCCAATCAACCTTTTCCATCACCGTGGTTACGCACGGTTACATAACACTGCGCATTTTTCTGCGGCCCTGGCTGCCTAACAATGATCCCTCAGGGCCCTCTATACTTGCCTGTTGGCTACCCAGGCGCTTTTCCTGGAACTCCACTTGTTTCAGCAGAAAGACAGAACAGAGGGTCTACGTTGCTGACGTCGGCGCTGAGATGGTACCCAATACGAGAATCAATGGGAGAAAACATATGACCCTCCCCCTTTTCCTTCCCAAAGTTTTTTCTTGACTAATGCAACTCTTAGCACTGTACTTTCATTCCTAACGAGCAACCGATTTATTGCAGTATCTTTTGAGGATTGTGAACTTCTTCATCTTGTGACGGAGTAACATTTTCAGAAATGCAACATCTTCTATTACAACACGCTGGGCCCAACCAGAAGCCAGCAAGCCAATGACTTCTATGCGGCCCAAACTTACTATTCCTAGCTCGTGACCCGACGCTCACCTGTCCTAGAAGTCTGGCAGGAAAATGAGGGTAATCAAAGAAGTTCTTTGAGCATCTGAGCTCTGAGTTCAAGCACAATATGCATACTCATTTGTCTTTTCAAGAGTTAATATTAGTATTATATTGGGTTGATCCATAATTTCTGGCCGAATTCCAACACTTTGATTTATTCAAGTTTTATCTCTCCCGAAGAACAATTGATCAAAAACATAACCACCATCATTATCACTGATATGCACCCATTTCCCATGGAACGAATGGATGCATTCCTCCCAGAACGAGAGAAGCTGTGAGTGAAAAGGCCGAAGAGGCCGTTTTGGGGGTGGTTGTATTTATTGACTTTTTCCTCTCCAAGCTGCTGCTTCAGGGGGCTGCGGAGGTGATAGTACGATGGAGCAACGTAAGGGCTATCCGACAGATGTGGTGTCGTTGCCGAGCCGGTTTCCCTCGAAACGTGGAGAGTTATTTTTGCAATGTGATTTTGGGCGGTCCTCCTGATAGAGGAGATTTTGAGACTTTTCCAACCGTCCTCCCTCACTGCTGCGGCTAACTTTGGAAGGTATTCCATGGTTACCTCCGCAATGCTTGTCTGCATAAAGCTAAATGGATCTCAAAATGGGATACCCAGCGAATCCAACAAATTGGGGGTCACACCCTGTGATAAAACAGC